ACAGAGGGCCTTAGAATAAATAAGAAATCCAAGATTATAAGTGTGATGTGTTTAATGTTGACCTCATTTTTTTTCCAAGAAACAAATACAGTGAGAGGTTAAGTACCTTATTCAGAGAGTGTACTTTTGTGGGTAAAATTACAACCCCTTCAAAACACATGAAAACTTTAACATGGTACTAAATAGAAAAAAAAATGTATTAAAAGCAGAGAGAAACGATCAGAGATACAAAAAGCTGCCTCAAAGACTTGTCCAAATGATGTCAGATAGGTTATAACCACTTAGGGTCAATTGGTATTAAAACTCACTTTTTAGAAGAGCATTTGACATCACTTAGAAGAGGATTTTTCTGGGTTCTAAACACTTCATCCAATCATCTTTTCAAGATTAGGCCCATCATCTTAAACAAAGCAAATGCTCACAGCACTGAGAGTTAAGCTGTGATTCAGAATACAAGATTGAATATTTCTAGTCTATGTTCTCATCCTATCAGGCATCAATTTCTGCTCCATGAGCGAAAGGAGTGCAACAGGTAACACTGCAAAATAAAAATTGCACACATGGGCATATATGTGAGTGCTTGCATTGGAGGAGAGAATGAAACAAGCATTTAATTTTATGCAACTAACTACAGAGGTGCATACAATAAAAGTATATGGTTAAGATGTTTAAGAAAAGAATCAATACATCAAACACAGATCAAGCTCTGCAGATCCTCTTACATGGAACAAGCTGACAAGAACAGAGCTTTCCTTGAAGATCACTTTTTACTACAGTGTCCAGATAACAACACTGTGTAATACTATCAAGGTCAAAATCACCTTTGTACTCTTAAACAGTTTCAGAACGCAAGTCTATACTTTGTGTTATTAAAGAACAATATATTCAAGCAAATTTAGGAAATTCAAGATTACAGCTGCTTAGAAGCAAACTGCGGTGACGAAATATGAAACCTAAGCACCGAAAGAGGAAACAGTATCAGTTACATATAGGAAACGGGCCTTCAAGTTCAGTTGCACCGATGTTTCATTGTCTGACAAGGAGTCCATGGTTATCTGAATGTGGTCAACACAAGTCCTATTTGTTTTAGTATGATGAACAAAGAAATCATGAAGACTAAAAATGCTTTCTAGATTTTTTGTGCTTTAGAAACAATTCACATTTATAAATGGAAATAAGCTTTCTATAACAATATAAACGTAGCCACAAACTACATCTTTCATTCTAAGGCATCTCTAAACACTCTACAAACACAAGGCATAGCCTTCAAAATATCAGTCATATGAAAAGCTAACCAGCTGTGCCCTCTGCTTAAGGTGGCAGATTAAGTCCTTTGCAAATACAGAACGCTCACCTAAACTGTTTGAAAAGACAGCTGGTAGCAGACATCTAGCCTTTTTAAAAGCTCAAAGGAGATTGTGATTAAATCATGTTTTTCCCCTTCCCATCCCCTCAACTCCTGACCTCTTCTTCTTCTTCACATTCAGAGTTAAAAACAAACAAAAACCCCACAGCATCTGCACTTCTGAAACATTAATAACAAAAAGATGGATCTCCCCACATTTAATCACTTTACTGACTACAATGCTGTGTGATCTGTGTATTCTCCTGGAGAGCAATAGATTTTTTCCAAAGAAAAAGTGGGACCACTTAACCACAGATTTATATGCAGCTCTCTCCAACTGCAACAAGTATCAAAAGTCATCATCAAGAAAGCTCATTCCTCTCAATATACCAACACGCAGCCACAGCCATTTCCATTCAAGAGACAAGGACTGAAGTGTTGAGGTTAGTTTTGGCTTAGCTTCCTACCACTTATGGTGCAGTTCCTACCACTTACAACTCAAGGGCTCCATCCCTCACTACAGGATACTGGTAGTAAGTCCATTGAGACATACTCATGTTTTACTAGCTGAAGGGCCATTCAGAACAGTTGGATGTGTCATACCCATGTTTTTTCTCATTACCCAATGGAAGAAAAAGTCAAGGAGATGCTTTAATAGTTATGATTACAGTTCGTATGCTGAAATATCTACCACTCAAATTAATACAAGCATTTAGACAACTTATCAGTTTCAAGCAGCACAGTATTACTTGATTCTTCTAATTGGTATCTATAATATCCTACCCATTAGCTTCGGCAGCTGACAAATACTCTTGACCCAGGGTGAAAAAACACAGGTGGGCCCTATGATGACACTTCGTCCCTCAATTCCCCATCTCTCCCACAAGCACATTTCAAAAACGGGAGGCAGAGAGACTTTTACCAGGGCTGGGTAGATTGCACGAACAGCACAGCAAGCAGCCATTGCTACCCCACATAAACTTGTGCAGAGCAATCCCGCAAACAGACGGCTATACAAGTCCTGTGGGTCTTGCTCTGGTGTACTGGGTTGCTTGGAGGCCCCAGATGATCTCATTATCCTGAGCATTTAACCCAATACTGGATAAAAATGCAGCAACAGTATCTCCAACACACTTAGTGCTTTGGGTCCATTTACAAGCCTAATCCTCAGTCCAAACTCAGAATGGAAGTTGTGAGTCCAGCAAAGTCTCAGTAGGAACTTCAGATTTGCAAAACAGAGAAACAGAATATGCTCACATCATAGCACACAGCTAGAGAGCTGTCTTGGGAATAGTTTATATGTTGCTGCAGTGATTTTGTTTCTTTTGAAGTGTGAGGCTTTAAGCAATCAGTTTTTTTTTTTTTGCAGCAATGAGCAGAAATTCTACTTGAATCCATGTGCATTAATGTTCTATATGCCTTAAAGAACAAGCTCAATTTTACATTTCCTTTGTTAACTTTAAAGGGGTGAACCACGAAATACATACCTGGTCTGGTAGACCAGCACAAGCAATACAAACCTTCCCAGCTGATTTCAAGTTTCTAACTACAGCTGGAAACACTTGTTACTACCTCAGCTTTCAAAACAAATGGTTACATAAAACCATATACCTGAAACATTGCAAAATAAGTATCCTTTACAATTCCTGCTTTTAGAAGTCCATTCATGGTCTACTGAAATTTTAAGGTAAATATAAACTTAATTCTGTTTAAGGAACACTATGATTATTGAACAACATTGGCGTATGTTAAATAGAGGTTGTTCGCATGATTTCTTTCCTTGTGAAGGGGAGAATATGGAGAGAGAAATGAGTGTTTTGGCCTAGATACCCAAAGCACTGGAAACAGACACATTTTTGAAGCTCTGCCCAATTTAAAATAATGCAACTCCTACCAGTTTTGCATCTAGAATCATTCAATCTGGATTCTCAGTCCTTTTCCCTGGAAACCTACTACACTTTTCAAGCACATAGAAGACATGAAAGATGGTATTTCAGTTCTGCCTAAGACACTAAAGGCAGTATTTCTCCAACAAAACCTCGGGGAGAAATAAACTGTTACAAAAACAGCTCATAACTGTTACAGAATACAAATATATGACTGCAGAGACACCTGCATAGATTCTATAGAACAGAGATGTCTATTTATAAGCACTACTCTGCCCATTTGTTCTTGTGCAAGAAAAGCTCAGTATTGTTGGCACACTCTTAAAAATACAAAAATAACTTTTAAGTCCTTTTTAAGAACTCAGAACTTATTTTTATATTTTAAAAAGGGACTCAAACTCTTGACTTTAGTTCCATTCAGATTATTTGATCTCCTCCTTTCCATACCACTAGTATACAGAAAAAGGAGCAACAGCACGTTTTCCTATAAAAAAGATCCATGCGGTATTTATGCAAAGGTGTTTAAAATACTGATAAATCAATGTAGCATCACTGCAAAACTTTAGCTTTATATTACCTATCTTTCTCTGGAACAGACAGCGTTTACTCCCTATCTGCTGTCCAGTTCTCACCAACTCTAGCTAAATCACGAACACAGTATCACATTAAAACCGGCTGCTTAACTTAACTGTTCGTTAGAATAGTCCATTAACACCTGGGAAAGACAGCAATTAACACTCCTAAAATAGCCATTTTTATACTGAGACAGCTTAGAAGCTCAGATATGTCCACACCTTAAACTGCACTGAATGCCAGTTATAAATACCTGGACACAAGATCTTGCAATCCATATCATACTCTATGACTCATTTTTGATCTCCTCCTTCAAAACATTATTTCTCTTGCCCTCTTTCCCCCAAATCACGGATTTACCCAAAGGATTTTAAGGGTTCCTCTGCCCCAATTCAGCGGCCATGTGCTGTTTCCAATCCGTTATTACAAGCCCCCAATAATAGGTTTTGCTCCATGCTCCACCATCATGCTGCCAAACATGGCTGCATCACGTCCTCTTTGTGGCTGAATATGTATTTCCCTTTTGCCTTTTAGGACTTCTACCTGCCTACCCTGGTTTCCTCAGATTAGGAAAGAACCGTTTAAAAATTCTCATTATCCTTTTACCTTTCATCCCTTTTAACACCTAGATATTTTTACAGTGAAGCTTCTGTATAAACCAAACACATTTTTTACTTCCCACTTTCCCGGGTTCACTTCAAAAACGAGCAAGCAGCCTGCTACACATTTTAAACCCTTTTCACCTTGAAAACGTATTTTTTTTTTTCCACGCAACAGAAAACCAGCAGCAAAACGTGCTTCCTACGAGAAGCGTGCAAGGCAAAAGAAAGCAGCAGAAGGAAATTTTATCACGGGGCTTTTCCCCCCTGCAGCTCCCTCTCCTGAAACCGGACCCCCTTGTATATAAATCCCCCTCGGAGCCTCCCCCCGAGGCGCACACGCAGAACAGCCGCTGCCGGAGCCTCTGCGTGCCCCAGTGCTTAAACTCTTTGTGCTTTTTTGCGCGGCCAAGGGTTGATTTCCCCGGAGGGAGCCCACGGGCCACGAGTGGGAGCTCCCCGCGCCACAGCACCTAAAACTTCGCGGGCAGGGCAGAGGCGCGGAGCCTCTCGCCCCGCCGCGGTGCCGCCCCGCCGCGCGGACCGTTAGGACGGCGCGCGGTAACGGCCGCGCCGCCGCCTCACTCACTCACTCACCCACAGCTCCGTGCCCCAGCTCATGGCTCCCGCGGCGGGTGGGCGCTGGGGGGCTCCTTTTCCTCTCGCTCTGTCCTGGCTGCGGCTGGGCTTCCTTGGCGGAGCGCCGAGGTGGAGCGAGCCGTGCGGAGCGCGGGGGACGCGGCCCGGGCGCTGCTCAGCGCCGCTCCCGCCTCATCGCGCCGCAAAATGGCCCGGGCAGCGCCGAGAGGCGGGGTGGGGGGGGCGCTTGACAGCTCCCGCGCACTGCGCACGCGCCGCCCGCGGCTGGGCAGCCAGCGCACTGCGCACGCGCAGCCCAGCGCAGCGGGGGGGGCACCGGGACCGGCCGCGCAGCCCCCCACCCACCGCGTCTGTTTGTTATTATTATCATTACTAATACTATTGTGTTTTATTTTTAATACAATGTTCGTGTTTGTACCATTTAAAAAGAGGCAACTGCCCAAGTGGGGAGGGGAAGGGAGGAATAAAAATAAACACCCCAGTCTCAAAGCAGAGTGCGGGAATCCCGCATGGAAAATAACCCAAATGCAGCGATGCTAAATCCACCATCTGTCACCAATACGGTAAAGCACGTAGGAAAAAAAAATCAAATTATCTGTCTTTATATCAGTGTGGGCTATTGTAGCAATTATGTGGTCTTGCAGAGAATGGCCCATTTCCTTGCCAGGGACTCAAGATTTATTTTGTGCTCGTCTTCCTCTGTAACAGCATTTATTTGAGCTGTGTCACCTAATCTGATTTTAGGTTCCTGCTTTTCAGCTACGAGAAATGTAAAAAGGGCTTTAGATTGCTATCTTATGTTTATTGCTGCATTTGTTCATGAAAGATTCACAATAGGAAAAATATATTCACCTGGGGAACCAAACTATCCGCTCACAGAGGCCGGGAGACCTGCGATGTTAGAGGAGAGTCCTTGCTGCAGCAGACCGTCAATTCTTAGATTCAAACTTGAGATTAATGCAATTCTCTTGCTCTCTAACGCTTGGAATATAAACCTACATGAGAAAGAACAAGAAGAGACGACTTAGGATGGATTCCAGCATTTAGAACAACAGTGAAGGCAAATGTTATGTTAATTACTGAGCTGCATTTATTTTTATCCTCGTTAGTTCCATTGACTTGAATGTAAGAGTACAATGCTGCTCCTCCTCGTTGTTGCCTTTGCAAGGAGGCCAAGGGCAGGCAGTGCTTTTGTTCATCCTTGAAAATTATTACTTTTAAGGACTGGCTTCACAACAATTCAAAGACATGGTTCAATTCACTCTGCGCAGTCCTCCCTGCCGTTGCCAACACATTTGAATGTCTGAGCCTGCCATGCTGCCTTAAGCACAACCACAGTCTTCCAAGGCCTCACACCGCCCAGCCTCCGGGAAGCGATGCTGAAACCTGCTGACCTGACACTTAGGTCTGCCCAGGACTTATTGCAAAACCAGACAACATGGTGGTATTGGAACTTTTTGAGAAATGAATCCGTAATACTTGAATAAAAAGAGGATCTGGAGACAAAAAAACAGTGTCATCTGAGACAAATTTGCTCTGGAATTTCCTTTTGCACAAAGAGCTGGGAGGGGAACAAGGCAAACCTGTTACACCAGCATGGGCAGGGAAACCTGTTCACACTGAAAGGAGATAAAAAACACTTAAGTAGTTATGGAAAGATAAAGGCTAGAAATGCAACAGTCTTAATGAAGACGGCACATTAGAAACAACCATAAAAAAAAAAAAAGCAAATATTACAATTAAAATGGGGAGGTGGGTGTGGTCCAAGACACAAACCAAATAAAATCCAAATGTTCCTGGAAAGAGACTTTTCATTATCTTTTATTACTTAGTCTGAAACTCTCAAAGACAGTGACTGCCACCTACATTATTACTTCATTTGCACAGTGCCAAAACCAGCAGGGCCTGCTGCTTGGTAAGTCTCCTAATTACAAATATAATTAACAATGATGGGAGCATTATGAGCGCTTCACGCTGAAATATAGAATTGCAAGTCTCTGTAGGTCCTACCCCCAAAAGAGCAGTTCAAAATACCATCTACAAAATAGATTATCTGTCACTCTTAAATAATTTTCAGACTCCAAATCAGAGCAACACAGGAAGCAGCAGCAGAAGCTTTCCCTCAAATACAATAAGAACAGGAGAATTTGGATCTGTCAACCAGGTAGGTGCCTATTCCCATAATTTCTGTTTCTCTCTTCTGCAGTTACCACTTTGAGCAGTTCCAGGAGGAAACACAAAGTACAAATAGAAGCAATTCCCTTTCTAAAAGATCAGGATTTTAAGGGACTCTACAACAATCTTGTTGAGTTGCCCACAAAATGACACCCAGATAGAACACCTGCTAAATAATTTAGTAGCTAGAGTAGGTAAAATAAACTTTTTTTTTACTTTTATTTTTTGGTACTAGTTCACTTACTATTCAAATAAGAAAAAAACACTCAAAACTTTCATTTCAGAGCTTCTACAAACATTTCCAGCTTCCAGGATATAAAAGAAAAAGGACACACCTTTTCCTCCCAGCAGTCATTATCCTTACAGCTGCTTCCCTTTTATAATTCTGCCTAGATTATCCAGGCCCAAGACAGAGAGTGTAGGCTTTGCTAATAACCTTTCATAGAGCAGGCCTGACAAAGCGCTGGGAAAGGAAGAGCACACACCTTTCCCTAAAGTCACCACCATTACAGTCGCTTCCTTTTTGCTGTTACAAACCAGCCGGGTCATTCACATGCACAGCAGGGCACCTTCGCTCTCTTGATATGCCCTGTCAGGGCCTCGAAGGTGCTAATGGGCTTTAATGTCTCTGCCAGCCTCAGCCGGAGCCTCCACCCACACCCTCTGCTCCTGGGCCCAGGAGCCTCATTTACACTCAGGCCTGAGCCTGAAGTCCTCATCCATGCTGTGTGGTAGGAGCACTGCTCCCTGGCCCAGTTGTAGCTGTGGGTCCTGTTGATCTGCACTCTGATTCCAACTCTGACTTGGCAGCAAGATCCTAGACCTGCCTCATGGCTACAATCCTGTCTGGTGATCACTAGACAGCATCTGATCCCAGCTGCTTCCAACAGGCAGCCCCTGATCCTTGGGCTGTCTCCTTAGCTCATCCTGGCCCTGTCTCATCACCACAGCCTTGCCTGGTGATCCAGGCTGTTGTTTGCCCTTGCTGCCATCTCTGCCCCACTTGCCTTGCTAGCTGGCTGTGGGTCTGGGTCCTGTCAGCTCTGTTTCACTGCTCAGTTACCTCTCCCTTACAGAGCAAGTGGCTTTTGCTGCTCTGTAACATGATTGTATCTTGCCTTGTGGAGCACAACAGAGTTTTGATATTCAATCTACTTCTCAACAGTTGAGTCTCCATCCTGCTCGCGACACTCTGCTGACAATTCTGTGAAGGGTCCTAATGAAGCACTCACATATACATGGAAAAAGAGAGAAAAGAGAGAAAAGACAACCAGGTTAAATATGTGTAACCACAGCTGTGAGTGACTTGACCATGCAAGTACTCCACTAAAATGGGCCTGGAACTTAGAAGCAGAGCAAGGCACGAAAACCAGCACTGCTGCATCTGCAAACAGCTATTCCACAGGAGTCATTAGCCTGTAGAGGCTCCAAGGCTGGTCTGCACACAGAAATTATACTAATTACAACATGAAAAAAAAAAGTTAATTACAGAAAAATATCTGGATCAGAGAGGTTTTTTTTCAAAATAAATTATCAGATGTTCGTAATTATGTAGCCCCTACAGTCTGCACAGTGAAGATAAGCTCAGTGCAAGGCTCGATGCTCAAGGGACATCTAGTGGCCACTGAAAGCTACTACTTGGCGACAACATCCTATTAAGAAAAAAATGTTAGGTTTTTGTTGCTTCCAGATATTTTCGCTATCAGTTCTGGTGATGGCAAGACTTCTGCCTTTATCAAAAGAAACGAAACTGGAAGAAATAACATCTCTGTACAAAGATGTGACATTTTGCATAACCTTTCTATTACAAAGGCCTAGACTTCCAAATTTTCCCTGCCTTTTCATCTTCTCTTCCATTTTACTGCTCACCCATTCCCATCCAGTTGCTCTCAAGGCTCTAAATGAAAAAAACTCGTCCAATTACTACTCCGCACACTAAAGGGGAAAACCAGAAACCTTAAGTTTCAAGAGCTGATATGTCCCACAGCTCTTTAGAAGCACTGTATTTATTTACACTGGTTGTTTCCTCTAAATTTGGAATTGTAAGCTATTTCAAAAAAATGTTCAGCCATTTCTTAGCTTAAAAAAAGAGCCTGTGTTCATGACCCGTTTGCTTGTGTTACCCTCAAATTGAACAACAAAGATTTTAATGGGACTGCAGCTACCAGCTGCTAATAATTTTCAGATAATAGTCTCAAAACTACTCTAGTAAGGAAGCAGAGAACCCTCCCATTGTGATTATATGTTCTCATCAAAGCTCTGTCAAGAAGCCCGAGGGGGCTGGGACCAGCCTACCCTGAGCTGGAAGCCACAAACCCGGACCTACCTGTAATGTTTCAGATGTCTCCTGGCCAAAGACTGAAGGGGCCTGACCTACAGCAGCCCCTTCGGTGCCTCTGGGGGCACTGGGGCCTCGCTGGAGCCTCAGCAAGGGCAGGCCCGGTGGCAGGTCAGCGGAGTGTCTATAAATGGGTGTCCCCTCATGAGGGGGAAAGCGCCGGGGTGGGAGTGAGGACAGGCTGGGCCTCCTCAGGGTGGGGAGCAGGGACAAGCAGGGCCACCCTTCGTGGGGTGGGACGGGAGGGTCCCTTCATGGCCCCTGAGGTGACAGGGCCTCCCTAGAGGGGCTTTGGGACAAACCACCGCCTGAAGGACAACGCAGCTGCGTTGGACATCGAGCGCGGCCTCAGAGGCGCGAGAATCGCCTCAAACCGCCGCGGACTGGTTCCAACCGGCGCCGACCGGTTCCAACCGACACCCGCGATGGCTCCGCCCCCGCCCCTGTCACGTGCCCCCTGCCGACCCCGGAAGCGGGGCGGGGAGAGGATGCTGATGCTGGCCTGAACATGGCGGCTCCGCCGTGGCGGGCCGCGGCCGTGCTGCTGCTGGCGCTGCTCTGCGCGGGCCGCGCCGCCGCCCGCGTCCATCACCTCACGCTCAAAGTAAGGCCCGCTCCTCGCGCTCCCGTCCCCGCCGCCTCTCCCCTCATCGCGGCCGCGGGGAGGCCGCGCCGCGCTCCTCCACGCGCCCCGCCGCTGGGGAGGCCTCTCCCGTTCCCCGCCGCCTCGCACCGCTCAGTGCTGAGGTAGAGGCGCCCTGGGGAGCGCGGGGCGGCCCCGGGACGGGTGTGGGGCTGAGAATCCGCCTCTTGCCGTGGTTTGTCCTCCGAGGAGCCCGTTCTGTGGTGTCCAGATGGCAGCCAGGGGCAGGAGGAGGTGCCGGCGCTGGCAGCGCTGTTGAAACTTAATAGGCCGCCGGTTACGCCTTGGATGTGGGCGACGTTGGAGGAAAAGTGGTTTTCCAGGGCGCTTCGTGTGGCGAAACGCTGCAGCTCTGCGATGCTGCTGCCCGCGGTGTTTCCAGCAGCAGCGCCCTGCTGGGACGGAGCCCTTGGAGCCGACGCACCGAAGGGTTCCGTGTAGTTTGGGAAGCGCCCTGGGAAGCTGCAGTGTAGCAGCGCAAATTCTGCTGCTGTTGTTACTCTTGTGAGTTGTTCTGGTAATAGAAGCGCCAGGAACTGGCAAAGTTGCCTGCGTGTTTCCAGCAGTGGAGGGAGGGTGTGAAAACTTTCCAACAAACAGGAAAGCATTCACAGTTCATCCCCAGGGAAGTTTTCAGAGTATGTTGTGGTGTAATACACAGCTGTGTAAATGTTGTCCCCGTTGTTCCCTATCTTCAGGAAAAGATTTTTTTTTTTTTTTTTTTTTTTCATTTGGAGCATTTAGCTAAGACTTGTGCTGGTTGCATTATCATTCTGAGGAATTTGTGACCAACAGTTGAGTGTTGGAAGATTTTGGGGGGTAATACCTTTCTTTTCCATTAACGAAAACAAAAAATACTTTTGAACTGGCCTTGAGCAAGCCCTCTCCGCAGCAAATGTGACTTCCATTTCCTGTTGTGGTACCTCTGAACTGTCTAAATTATTTGCTAAACTTTTTTTTTTTTAACTGTTGGAATTGGGGTGTGGATTTAGTTTTGTGAGTGTTTTCTCCAGCCACGGCACTGTCTCTGCAAACACCGAGGCAGGTGGAAGTGCTTAATACCTTTATCAACCCCCTGGGTAAACACGAGTCTACTCGTCACAGTGCAGTCTCTCAGCCCCTACTCATCTGCTGCTTTATAACATTTGTGTAAACACGAGGCTCCAACAACTGTGCCCTTTCACAAGGAAACCTCCATTCCGCTGTTCTTGCTGTTGGCTCTTTGCTTCTAAGTGTGTTTTGATGTTGTGCCAAGCTAAAGGCTTCGACTTTGAGTTAATATTTGGTATATGGCTTCCTCAAACAAGCTGTTATTGTTGAAGTTAGCTAGAAAAACCTTGTTCTTGAGACTTTCATTAACATGCTCATGTACAGCTTTTTCTGTTGTCAAAAAGCAAGCCAAAATCTGAGTGGTTTCCTGATCTAAAAATAACTTCCTTGCATGTTTTACTAAACATGGGAAACGACTTATTTTTTTCCAAGGTGGAAAAATGCTTTCTGAGGATCTTGCTGTCAGACTAACAACATCAAAGGATACTCCTTTTCTGGGAAGCCTCTGTTATCAGCTTTGTTAATTGAGTGTGGTGCCTTCAAACAAGAGACTCTCAAAAAAAAGGGAGTTTTAGAAAGTTCATGATAATTTTCAGAAGTTTCCAGACATTTGACTCTTGGAATATTTCTTTTAACCAAATATGCACTGTGTGCCTGTTCTGACTGTGACCTTTAGTCTTGCTGAGCTTTTGCTGTGTCCCTGTCATGTTGCTGAACTGCTGGTAATGCCAGGGCCTTGCCCTGCATGGGCAGGGGTCACATAACCAAGCAGTGACTTTCTTATGTCTTAACAGTTAAGTGATGCAGTATTGGGGCCTTAGGTTTGCGTAATTACGGGGGCAAACTGCTTCAGAGACTGAGGAAGTTGCTCTAAAGGAGGCCTTTATCAAGCTAAGTTGTAGCACCAGTGAGAGCTGAACTTACAGATTTCCAAGACTTGTCAAGAGGACCCATGCGAGTGACCGAGCTGCGCAGCGGTTTGTGGTGTTCGTGTCCAATTGAACTCGGGTAGCTTTGTTGGTTCTTGGCTTGCTAGAGAGAGAAGTAAAACCCCTCACTTTGGGACCTTGCAAAGATTGCTCTCATGTCAAATTATGGTTTTGAGGGTGCTATTTTTCAGTTGTGTAGAGTGTTTTGCTTCTGCTCTTAAATATTTTGGCATTTTTTGCACTTCAATTGCTCAAGTTGGAAAGACTTTTAAAATCATCTGTAGAGATCTTAAACTCATCAAAATCCTGGCTTGTTTTGAAGATGCAGGAAACTCAGTCCATTTATCAGTTAAAACTTTCACTGTACTGACAACATGGTCCCAATTGAGTCTTGGCTGAAATGTCAAAGCAAATGATTTCGCTGCCCATCCTGGACTAGAGACCTGGAATACTGCTCCCTTTAACCTTGTTCAGGTAGTGTAGGATTGCCTTTCATCCTAAAGAATCAGGGAAGGTTTTTTATTTTATTATTATTATTATATTTTTAATGGAAAACAGTTGACTGCTTCTGATATGGCTCTGAATGTAAGCCATTAACGATGAGTCCCAGATCACCTGCTCTTATAGAGACAGGCTGAGCTGTTGAATGACTCCCACATAAATTAAAATTCATTCAGCATATGCTAGCAACTCAGGCACTTAAATATTTCTCCTTATTTCTACTAGTTCACATTTTTCTAACTGTAAATCAGATTCTTCTGAAGTGAGAAGCTGAATGATTATAAATGAAAGCCAAATTTTTCCAATGTGTTAACTCTCTTGTGAGGGTAAGAAATTATTAGAAAGCCTTCATTTATTAGAAATAAATGAACACATTATTCAGCACACATTATTATTATTAGAAAGCCTTCATTTCCAAGCTGCCAATAAGTGGAGCAGTAGATGTTCTCAGAGGGCCTGTTGCTGCTTGTCTGCACCTTGTGTGGGATCATGCAAAGCTGAGGGATTTGTGAACTAAATCTGTAAACTCTTAAGTGCTTAAAGCTGAGATAAAACCAAGGAGGAAAGTGTCTGAGTTGTGTATTGAGGATCGTCTGGTGGGAGCATGGTAGTGATCCCATGGAGAAAAAGAACTTGAACTGAACAGGTTTGAGGTGTTGTGAGTACTTTGAGTTAAGCAGCTGTGTCTGGTTAGGTTTACAAGGTGTAAAACACTAAATGGGTGGATAGCACTAAGTCCCCTCAGCTTTCATCGACCAGGCAGATGCTTCCCTGCCCAGATGTGATTAATATACCTGCTGTAATATCTGAAGAGCTGGCATTAATTCTCCTGTTTGAATGAGAAATCACATTCGTAGCACCACGAAGTGAACCAGATGGACTCTTGTTTTAAGGATGTAAATGCCCCAGAACCCAAGGAGAGCACAGCTATAATGCTTGGTTAGCTCCAGCATCAGCTGTGAGTCACTAACTCTTCTTCTCCTCTGAGTATTAGTGGAACCATCTGGTTATTTACCAGGCTAACTTAATTCTATTAGGACTGGCTCTTATTACAGCTAGGCTACAGGTTAGTTGTGTCAGGATCCATGTTCTCCTTTTAAGGTCCATGATATTTATGTTTTGAATGGTTGATAGGGAGATGGCAAAAAAAGGGAAGAGAAGATAAAACTTATTCTACTTCTGGAATTACTAGCTCAGTCTTCCAGCGCCTGGTCCAGAAGAGTCTGATTGCATTTAGCAGTTGTCCTGTCTGTTTAGAGTATTCTACAATCCAAGTATATTTTCTATTATAAAAATTATGATACTTGACAGAAACCTTACACTGCACATATTTAGTGTATCCTTCTGGTGGAGGAAAAAAATATCTTGTCTTCACCTACTACATGTGAGAAATGGAGGAAACAAGTTTTAGTGAATTGTAAAATTGCTTTAACTCAGTTTTTAAATATGCTTTTAAATTTTTGTTATGCTGCTTTGCTTCCAGTTAATGATCCTGTGGAATGCAGAGCCCAACTGTGTATCCAGATGCTGCCTGCTTGAAAGCCAAGTGGCAAAGATATGACCTTTCATCACCTGATGTGGCAGCACTGTGTGCAACTCCAGTGCTTTTCATGTGAGGTCCCTCATGACCTGGGCAGCTGGTGGGGTTTGCTCCTTATTCTAAAAGCCCAGTGTGCTGGAGCCTTTATCAGCTGAAGGGATCACTGCTCACATCCCAGAAGAGGGAAACTGCCCCACAAGTGAAACGGGGAGTAGTTGAGGGGGTTTGTGATGTTACAGAGAAACTAACCCAGGTTCTGAAGGTGGCTTGGGATTGTTTATCTCCCTATATGCACCATATTTTTTATTTATCCTGCTTACAAGAGTCCTGTCTGTTGCACTCCAGTGGTAAAGGCCTTGTTTAAAATGCTTTGGAGGGAACAGGCTGCATAAGCAAATTCTCTCCAATGCTCTGCACAGTTTTCCAGTGTGTTAGGTGCTTAACAATCCGAGCAGTGACCCTGCCTAAAATATGAGCTCTCATGAGGAGAGAATACACTGTGATTATTACAGAGCTCGCCAAAAGCCAGCTCTTGGTTAGATAAGTGCTTTGTAGTCAACTATTTCCTTTTCAGTCTGTCACTGTAACAGTAGCTACAGTTGAGAGTGACTGTCTGGATTTATCTACAGCTTCTTTTTGTACCAGTCATGCCGCAAGCTTTCCTTCAGACTTCATCCTTTCATCTCTGTCAGGGGAATAGCCAGGTAATTAACAGAGACGTGTTTGTTGAAAATCCTTGTCCGAGTTACTGGAAGAGTTGACTGCTTCCTGTGAAGAAGTTGGATCTGTCTGATGGTATTTTAAAGAAATTTGCCCTTGGGGTGCTCAGTGTGATGTTTTGAGAGAATACCCAAATAAGTGTCAGTCAGTGTTATCCCCTCTTCCTCCTTAATTGCTGCTGCAAATGGCTGTATATATAACTTTTGAAAATTCTTTCCTTTCTCCTAGGATGATGTGAGGCAAAAAGTGCACCTGAATACCTTTGGCTTCTTCAAGGATGGTTTCATGAAAGTCAGTGTCAGTAATCTTTCACTGAAGCCACCTGTGGATGCTGATGACAAGAGCAGCTCATCAGTAAGTTACCTAATAAGCCCAAAGAGAACAGAAGAGCTTCCTGTGAAATAGTCTTTGCACTAATTTCTTTAATTTAAGGTGCTAGCTCTTCTCTGGTGCTGTATTTGGCTTCATCTCCCATTGTTAACCTTATGTTAGGGGAGATATATATATATATATAGTCAGATTTATCCATGGGTATTACCTGTTCTGTTTCAAGGTTTGGCTTTGAGACTATTTTTTTTGTTCTTAGTAGATATGGATGAAGCAGCAGCTTTGTTGCATCGTGTGTGTGGGTTTTTTATGTTGTTGCATTGGGATAATGTTTTCTGTCTAATTAAGACAAATAGCTGGATTCTGCCTTAAACGTAATTTATTTCAAAAGTAGTATCTTCAGCTCTTTCAATGATGGCTTGATTCCTGGTATTGAGAGGACCCGAGCTGCTTTAATTTGATATATTCATCTTAATTTGTCTTTTAGGTGGGGTTCAGCTTGGATCGAACAAGGAATGATGGGTTCTCCACTTACCTGGTAAGAATAAGGCATGTGCACTGTCTTTGCTAAACTCTCCAGTTTACAGACTATGTCTTATAGTCTGCCTTGCTCCAGGAAGAGCTGGAAGAAAAGGGCTCTAGACATGGACAGTCTTCTAAGGACCTCTGTTGGGGATGAATATGCCTTGGTTCTTACTAACAGGAGGACACTCAAGAGTGTTTTGGTTCTGTTGCCAGGATGAAGAGGTGGATTACTGTATTTTGAAAAAGAAACCAGAGCAAGATGTTTCGATTGTAATCTTACTTTTGGACTTCAAAAATGAAGTGTGAGTAAAAAATGTTTATTTTTAAGTTATTTCTGTAGTTGAAGTTTGATTCATGAAGTTTCTAATTGCATAGCAGCTTTCCAAGTCCATAAGGTTTTAGTCTTAATGAGTAAGATGAAGATGACAGTGAAAGAAAATCCAGGATATAAAGTGGTTCAGGAATCGTTCTTGTATATTAAAGGGATAAAGGTGTATAGGACATTATTCTAGTCCTAATAATTACTACTGAAGATAGGAACTTACAGTCCAAGCCTCTATTTGCAGCTGTGACCATGCTGTTTGGTTCTTTGTTTTGTGTTGCTTCTCATAGGGATGTATCTTCGAGGCTGTATTGTTTCCTTTTACGAGAACAACTTTAACTGTGTTTGTGTGAAAACTATGTCCCTGGATATCAAAAGTGAAGAAACTTTTTTTGACTTTGCACATAATTGTGTAGTATCACTTTGTAGTAGTGTCAGTGGTCAGTTGAACACGAGCCAGCTCTAAGTCATGGTCTTGTGCTTTTCCTGTTCTCAGTGGTAAAAGAGCACATGAAGAAATTCCAAACTACTCTTTTGAAGATTAGGTTGGGTAGTGTTTGCACTGTTTACATTTATTTTTCCTTTTTGGGCATTGGAAGAAGTTGGACTCCTAATTTCAGACCTGAAATATACATTCTGGAGACAACTTAGCTCTTACACTGATCTAATAAATCTTGCAAAACATCTTAGTGATACTGAGAAGCAGAAGCACTCAAACGTTTTTTTCCTCTCAGATTCCTTTTCTTCCCAGGGTAGTGTTTTGATAACAAGTTGTTTTTTCTTTATGGAGGATTGGTGGGCTATGACAGCCTCTTTAGGAATGTTTATTTGCTTTCAATTTTGCTCAAAAACTCTTTGTTCGTTTAGTGTGAAAGTGCGGTTCTCTGCAGAAGCTGTCGGCCTCTTACCTAAAATTTCATTCATGTCCGAGGAAAATGTTACTACTGTGACTACAAAGTCTCCAAAAACTTCTGAACAGACCAGTGATTCTAGCAAAACTATTGAGACCAATCAAAATACAGCTGACCAAGGTAAGCCTGCTAAACCTGATCCATATGTTCTCTCATAGCTAGCTCGTGGTTAATGTGCATCCAAGGGTGCTGCAGTCAGATTCCAGGGTTGCTTTAGGTTACCTTGATGCATGTGTATACGCAGGACTCCTTAGCCTGCAATCCTGTGTATATCTGTGCACAGAGTTGCTCTTTGGACTAGTCTCATATTTAGTGAAGTATCATGCATATATTTAGTAACACCAAGTTGCAAATGTGGCTATTGTCACCTTGTTAAGTTTTGGGCTCACCAATGTAGGTCACCTTTTTGTTGTATTTATTTGGATGGGATGGAAAATGTCATGAGTAAGAATTTGTAAAAAGTGTAATAGGGAAGCCTATGTTGTCGCTTATTCTGAATTAATCTCAAAAGTGGTTGAGGGAAGAGTCCTAGGAAAGAAAAGTGGGATTGGGAAGCGTTACTATTAATGATTATCTAGGAACTGCCACACAGACAGGAGTAGGAGGGCTTGGGCAAGGTATTAGTAATATAGGGGTAGACTGTGAGAATGTCTAAGCACAAAACACTCTAAATGTGCCATGAATGCTTTTATCTCTAGATGACAAGTTCGCACGAAGTACAACATACCCTCAGGTAAGAGAAAAACTGTCTGCTTTTCTCTTTGAGAAAGCCTGGGGGAATTGTGGCCGGGAAGTGGCCATGCCACTCCTTGCTCTCACCTCCACTGTAAACCTACAGACTAGCTTTGGTTGTCTGGGTGATGTAGCCAAATGTAGTATTACCTGCTTAAAAATCTAAAAGTTTGTCTCCTCCTGTTTCCAGAGCGTAATAGAACAAGCACATCCCGTTCACAATGACAGAGGAACTTTTTCATTTCAGGTATGTTTTCTGTCAATGTCTAGCTCCAGCATGTACAGGTAGTTCCCTCACTGACTTCCTTACTGAAAAGTTAGTCTGCTGCTCCTGCTGTATTCCCTGTTTTCTTAGTACAGATGTGTCTTGGATAGTTCAGTAAGCTTTTCAAGTGGGCTTTTGTGAGACTAAATACTGGAAAATTCTTTCCTTATAAAGTGTAGGGGCTGTTTAGATTATCTGCTGTGTCATGATGCATTTAGTATTTACAGAATTCTAACAACAAAAAGCTATGGCATGAACTGATGATTCATTTAAGGGGCGATTGTCTCCTGTGTGAAATCAGATTAATGCTTTGCCTCAGCATGCTCCTTCGCTTGGGATATTTGCTTAACACAAAACAAACATTGAACGTGCTTTGTATCACATGAGAGTTCCTGTAGCTCTGAATGTTTGTATAGTTGGGGAAGGAGTAAAATAGCTGCTTATGCTTTAGAGCAAATATTATCAAAGTAGCTTTGTTTCACTGTGTTAAATGTAGGGCATTTTGTGTTGTCTTTTGTCTATGGCAAAGTAATTAAAACATTGATGCTTAAACGTCTTGAATTACAAGCTTGCACGATGAGCTAGGTGCAATAACCCTACATGTTAGGTGGAGTTGTGTTGTAGAGACATGTCAGCAGTTACACTGTTGTTGCTGAAGGGAACCAACTGACACACTGATTTACCTTTTCCATGCCCCACTGGAGATGCCTCTTATCAAGATAACCCTTGTGAATGATGAAAATACTGTCCTTTCTGTTCCTTTTTTTTCTAGTTTTATTTCAACATCAGTTCTAATAACCAAGAAGGTCTCTACAGCCTGTATTTCCATAAGTGTGTTGGCAATGATGCACAGACTAATGATAAGCGGCTATTTAGTCTTGATGTGAGTATAGCTTCTAAAGTGCAATTAACTTGTTTGTTTTTTCAATTCCAGCTTCTATATAGAACACACTGTAGATACATGTCTATGGAATGAGAAATGATTGAGTTGTGCATTTCATCTCCCTAGTGGCATTTCTGAAAGAAGCAACTAGAGTAAGAAGAATTAAGAATGAGTTTTAGAGAAATTTATGGAAATTTGGGGCCTGCATGTAGGCTGAAATCAGTTTGTACAGTTGTGACTTCATACTGTAATGAGGTTGGATTTAAAATCCATTAAAATGGATGTTTATTTTGCTGCTGTTTTTAAATTCCCTTGCACTGTTGCTCATATTCAGCCTGGTGTTTGGATCTAAACTATCAATCTTCCGAAATTCATTGTCATTGCTTTTTCTGATCTAATTTGAGTTTGTACAGCACCGAATGCAGCCTTTTAAAAACTGTTGTACGTTACAGAGTGCGTTCTGTCTTTTGGAAGTAGCTTGAGAGGAGTCCAAGTGTTCAGTCTAATGTCATCTTCAGCCCCAGAACATTAGAACAGCTCCCACTTCCCCTTCCTTGTGCTTGTGCCAGCATTCATGCTGTGGGTAGTGAGCTCTTCTGAAATGAATCTCTCATTGACCGAGGTAACGCTCAGCCCCTATGAGCTGTTTGGTACATGGGTGTGCTGATGCAAGTGCAAAGGAAAGGTGAGGCAATGTGTAGGGAGTAGAATTTTGCAGCTCCAGCTCACCTCAGCTGAAACTGTTGTGTGAGGTTGCCCTCCAAGGCTGTGTATTGAAAAGACCAAGTTTGTTTCATTTACTGTTTTACTGCTTTTTGATACATGGAGGAAATGTGAAAGAATAGAGAACCTGGATTACTGGCCATCTTGACTTTGTCTAAAGAGTAGTTTCTTTGCTGAAAGCTGGTCTTGAGAGACTGTTTTAATGAACTCTTAGGACTTGCAATGAAGCAGTTTAAGGGGCATAAATTAAATGTTAAATTAAGCTTCTGTTTTTTGAGTCACAGGGTAATAGGCTTGCAGCAGAGTGCATCCTTTCTCTTGACAAGTGAAGAAATCCACTGTAGTAAACCTGAGAGTAAGTTTTTGCGGCTATGTAGGCTCTCTCCACATCAAAAATCAGGAATATGATTAAAGAAGCCTGTTTATGCAAGGTTGTAGATGATATTTCTGAATCAGATGTGGGCAAACTCTAAAGTTCAATACCTACACCAACAGTTATTTGGGAAAAATCACTTTGGCATTCAAAATTATGTTCCATAACTCTCATACCAGGGGGAACCTCTGTCCTTTTCTGCTTTTCAGGAAAATTATTGTTGTAGGGAGTAACTTGCAAAATGTTTTGTTGGATGAAAAATTGTTTCAGAATGAAAAAACAAAATGTTAGTAGTCTTATAAGTTTCAGCTTCAGGAAAGTTAGCTTTGAGAGTGAATTTGATTTTGACTGTAATTGTTCATGCAGCACTTAAGCAAAATATTTTCCAACTGTGCACATAACATCTTTAATATTCAGATAGAAATTACGGAGAAGAATCCTGAAAGCTACCTTTCAGCGGGTGAGATACCACTGCCAAAACTTTACATTTCTATGGCTCTCTTCTTTTTCCTCTCCGGGACTGTGTGGATACACATACTTCGTAAACGCAGGTAAAGAGACTACTGTTATGTGAGTAAAAGCATGAACTTAGTTCATTAGACCTTCTTTGGGGTCCTTCTGTTATTGTGCATAATTCAGTGTGAGACTGAGTTCCTGAACACTTAATCATACTTAGTCTAAAGTTCACTTTGAGATCTGCTTATTTGACAATCTGCAGTTCAATTGGTCGCTTGATATATGATTTAGGCATAATTGAAACGTGTAACTTTCAGTCTTCTGAAAACATTTATGATCTAAATGTATAGGATATTCTTAAGAATTTTTATTTAACTTAAGCATTTAAAATCTTGTAGAACATCTGGTTGAGTTTTTCAGGATGCTGTGAAAATTCAGACTGCAGCATTTGGTAAAGAAAAACCTTTCCTCTAGTTGTTAGCTCCTCTTGGGAGTTGCTATTTGGCATTTATAGATGATAAAGAAATACTGTGAAACTAATATTTTTGTGCTGGCTCTTGGGTGATATTTTTTTTTCTTTCTTTCCCTTTCCCCCACAGAAATGATGTGTTTAAGATTCACTGGCTGATGGCAGCCCTTCCTTTCACCAAATCTCTATCCTTAGTATTTCATGCGGTATGTATACATTTGCTGCTTCGAGTTGCTCAGCTGGAAAGTAGAAAAATGGAATTCAAGGCACGTTGTAATACAGAAACCTATATTGCAGTAGGAATATGTGTGTGTGTAATCTTTCCTATCAGAGCTTTGGTATTGAACTGCAGATGTTTGGAAGTTATTCATTTTTTCGTCATCGAATTCTGACTCTGAAATACAAATACACGATCTGAAATACAAGTGAGAATTATAGCCTGAAAGTGGTGTGGCAGCAAACATATGTGAGGAGTTGAATGAGTCCCATGAATTTCAATGTTTCAGCCACCTGAGGCTGACATGAAGACATGAGTTATGGTGGTGGTGCTGCAGCTTAGGTAGGTACCAGTGAATTGAGACCTTGCCGAATGTCTGAAATTCAAGGCCATGACCTTAGGTGACATATTATGCCACGCTGCAGCAGCCCTAGCATTACACAGGCTAGGCTTTAACACATTCAGTACCCAGAGTCTCCATTGCATTGGCTCTGCCTTTCTACTTGAAAGATCCTGTATAATAATGGCCAACGTTTAATCCTGCCATGTTCATGCCAAGAGTGATCTCTGCCATCAAGTCTGTGCTGGGATAATTGCCACAGGTTTGAAGTAGTTAACACTTCTAAATCTGGTTTGCAGTGAATCTAAAAGTAGAAAGACTCTAGTCACCTAATGCAAGAGAGTTTAATGAACGAATGAAGTTGCCGTGAATGAAGTTGAATGCACTAGATCAACAATAGTTAAGTGTGGGAGCTGTGTAGGAGGGATGTAGAGCGTATAAAAGGTGCATACACCAACACTTGAGAGAGAAAACAAGTGGAAATTGCCTTATTGCTGCTAAAACAAATTAGAACAGGTTGGGAGGAAGTACTCTTGGATGTAACAGAGCTGAGTTTATACTTGCTGAGGAGAACTCAAGTTTGAAATGACTGTCAGAGCAGAGTTCTTTTAATGGATGGGGGCTCGTGAGAAGTTCTTATAAGGTACAACGTTATGTTTTTTCCTTCCAGATCGACTATCACTACATTTCTTCTCAGGGATTTCCTATTGAAGGCTGGGCTGTTGTCTATTACATCACTCACCTGTAAGTATGTCAGAAGATAGTTCAGTAGATTGAAAGAATCAAACTGTATTTATCTGCTCTTTCCCCTTCAACAAGCTGGGAAACTGCTGATTCTTTGGCACTGAGTTCTGAGTGACAAGACATCAATCAGTCCCGTGTGAAGGGGAAAGCTCAGCTTAAAGGACAGCTGCAGACAGATGGTACTTATGTGGGTGGAGGAGTAAAAGAAGAAATGCTTTGCTTTTCATTGTTTGCACTAATATTCAAGTATCTGATTTGTTTATGGTGTGAATGGTAAGAGGGTGCAGCTGTCAGTGTTTTCTCCTGTTCACTATGGTAAATGAATGACTCCCCTAGGAAAAGATTGCCTGTATTGACAGTTATGAATGAAGTCTAATATTGCTGTGATGCACAGTTGTAAGCTAGTACATCTGCTTCAGTTGTAGGATGCACTCATCAAATTTGTAGACTGTAGTGCAGTTGCTTGGGTCACTGCCTTTAGATGACCTGGGCAGAAGGAATATGATGAAATAAGTCTCTCACTTTGGTATCTGCTTCTCTTTCAGCCTGAAAGGTGCTCTTCTCTTCATTACTATCGCCCTCATTGGCACAGGCTGGGCTTTCATTAAGCACATCCTCTCAGATAAAGACAAAAAAATTTTCATGATTGTCATCCCGCTTCAGGTGAGGACCAAGTTGTGTCAAGACTTGCTGTCTTGTGGGAGAATGGAAACTGAAAGCAGGGGACCTGAATCAGTAAACCGTACAGTTACTTCTTTCATAAACCTATCAATTAGCCCTTACTGCATAAATTAAGGTAGAATTTCTCAGGGAGCAATGAAAAGGGCCAGAAGCTACTGCTCTAATTATCCCACTCTGCCCGCATGGAGTATCTGATCATAGTGATCAAAGTGAAAAATGCTTGCTGTAAAGTAGATATATTGATGCTGGGGCAAAACTTGGGTTGCAAAATAGTCCTGAAGTACTGAGCAGAGATATTACATGAAAGTTGTCACTTCTGAAATTCTTGTTCAGTGGACTTTAAGGAGGGGAAAAGCAGACTTGCATGTCCCATGAGTCTGAAGGAAATATTCCCAGGATAACTGAATGATAAATGCCTGCTTCCTACTCCAGGAACTATAAATAGGAGGATGATACTTGTATTTACTGTAGTACATGAAAACAGAAGGATGTTGTTAGTGCTTGGGGCCCTTAGAGTTAGAATATGGAGTACAGAACACTGTTGATGATCAAACTGAATTATTTGCTCAATTTAGAATAATATTTTTGTTTTGTGCTTGCTGTCTGCATGCATGCGGAGTCCTGTTTCTGTATTTTCATAAATAGATTTTCCTTTTATCTCTACTGGTACAGTAGATTCAGCATAGTATATAGCAGAAAACTATTTTAATGTCAGCAGAAATGAATTCCAGTCATTTTTTTCCCTGTAAATCCTGTGAAGATGCTGCTGAACATGTGATTTTGACAGAGATGCAGAACTATTAGTGTTGCTACTGCATAGACTGTTGCAAGCATGAGACAGCTTTTGCAGAATTGAGAGCCAATATCTATTCTCTTCTTGGAAAGCATCTGGAACTTTTTGTCCTGTAGGTACTGGCAAACGTGGCATACATTATCATAGATTCAACGGAAGAGGGAACGACTGAATATGGACTGTGGAAAGAAATTCTCTTCCTGGTAGATTTGCTGTGTTGTGGAGCCATTCTGTTTCCAGTGGTATGGTGAGTCCTTGTGCATGACACACAGTTGCTGAGCCCTGATCAGGCTGTTAGCCTGACTGCTAATCAGGAGTCAAGGAACTGCAGAAGCCAAGAAAATGTCAGTCCTTTGAAGAGTCAAGTATTCTACTAATCTCCTAAAATGTATTAGTCTTTTTATAAATCCTGTATTACGGAAGGGATTTCATTTGGAAGCAAGCAAGCTGTCTGCCTCGGTTAAAAATTATGTAGAGCTCTAATAATGGGCATCAAATTTTTGTACTTAAGTGCAAGTTTCATAAAGGCTAATAGGCAACCATGTGATGGTTTCTGCGAAATGACCTGTTTTTCTATCTCTTTTCATCATTCAGTGGTGTTTATTGATTCTGTTACAGTGCTAAAGGGGGCCATAAAGGCTAATTCTCAACCTTTGAAAGTAGAAACAGAACCAAAAACAGAGACACGGAATTATTAAGTTAGAGGGGGCAATTTAGAAAGTGTGAACAAGACAGTGCAAAGACTATTGGTGCTTAGCTGGAACTCTTCAGAAGTGCTGAATCTCTTGTATAGAAACCTGGAATTTTGCTTTGCTGAATGAGTTTGGAAACTTGCCTACAAAGTTCTAAAACAGTAGTGCTATCCATGCCCAATGCTGCTTTCGACCAGAGTAGCTGCATATTTACTTGATTGTTGTAAGAAATAATCCCGCAGGGACCACTTCTCTGCCCTTCCTTCCACTCTACTTGGCAAGAAAAAACGTTACTTATATAAAACTCCACTAAAACACAGATAACTCGGATAAATGCTATTGTTAGTTCTTGCCAGTTAGAACATTTATCTTCTAATTTCATTTTTAGGCTTAATTGGATAAACAGCTGGATTTAGAGGAGGCATTGAAGGAGCTTCTGGCTACATTAGTTCATAAATACAGGATATTCTTTTTCTTTCAGTAACTTATTTTTCTGTAATGCAGACAGAATATAAATGGGTGTATAGTAAACATGTCATCACTCTTGTGTGGAGTGGTTTCATAATGCAAATATATAAACATATATGTGTACACACTCATCCAAATAAAAATGCAGGGCACCTATAAATTCACATTCACTATGCATTTTATTTGCATATAATGCATTGTACTCTAATTTAGTATATATTTATATTTGCTTATACATATATTTGTATATAAAAAATGCATTTATTGCTCGGTAGATAGCAGTAAGCTGCAGCTTGGCTTAATAATGTGGGTTCAGCTGGACTTGCCTTCCTGTTTATTCTGCGTGAAGACCAAACTACACAAAGGCTTAGTGGCCTTGTGCCAAGGTGGTGAAACGTCTACCAAGGCATTTGTGGGTCGGTACCCGCTTGCCTTTTCCCTCTCACCCCATGAAAACCCTCTTTCTGAGGCTGAGCAGCAGTTCTGAGTCTGAGAATATCTGGGTGTAATTAAATAATTTCAAGAAAACTTATTTTTATTATAGATAGCCACTTCTTTCGTTTGGTAAAGATAGGGTTAGTCACAGTTCCTACTGCATAATGCCCCATATGTCCTGCCTAGTGTTAAGCTGCTGCAAACTTACAGCTGCTTTCTGGGAGGTATTGAAGGACAAATGCCTTTTGCAGACTGTGCTATAACTACTGCTAGTGTGCAACGAGCGTGCCTTCATTTTTGGGATACCCACCTAAATTGGCAGGGAAGCCTCAGACCTGAATCCTGACCCTTTTTCATGTGGGTAGCCTTGCAGCTGGTGGGATGACTCATGAGAGCAAGGTGACTAAGACTTGGCCCTTGAAAATCCCCTCCTGCAGGGTGGCTTCTGTTACATAAGCTGCCTATGTAGACATGCAAGCTGTAATCAACTATTTAAATGAAAAGAGCTTAAAAGAGCAGTAAGATGCCAAATGCTTGGCAGAACTTGGAACAGGAGCTCAGCTTACTTGAACTAGTGGAAACATTATGCTGGAAAATGCCCCAGTTTTTCGCTGTGCTCCCTGCCTCCCACAGAGCTTTCTGTAGGCTGAAGTGAGCTCTAGCACGTTGCTTTTTTAATCACATGGAGATGCAGATACTTGAGCTAACTGCCTGACTTGGAGATGGGGGTGATATATGTGTGCATATATATAAATATATATAATATGCAGTGCTAAATGCATTTAATTAAGAAGAAAACCCAAGCACAACAAGTTAACAGAGCTGTCAGAATTCTACAGACTTGCACTGAAAAGGAAGTGCTAAAATTATAGTTAATCTAACCTTTATTTTTTTTTTAGGTCAATAAGACACTTACAGGAGGCTTCAGCAACAGATGGAAAAGGCAAGAAATCTAATTTTCTGTGTTGTTCTACTTTATGGACAATGAAAAGTTGCCAAAATATGAAGCACACACTATTAATTTAAAACATGTAAACTAAAATTCTAAGTTTGTGTTGTCTGATTGTCACATTGCCTGTTTTCTTGTAGTGAACCTCTTGGAAACTGACCCTTTTCATACATTGGCTTGACTCAGACATATAAATCATTTTCTGGTGCTCAATGCTCTTGGGTTAGACATAATATCTAAAGCAAATCATCTGACAATTTTGCTTCTCTTCTCACTGAAATGTTCAGAAGCAGAACTAGAAATGAATTCCAGAACTGCTCTTTATTAGTTGAACCAGATCACGTTATTTCTCTTTCTTCAGACAACTGTCCCAACCAGGAAGGAGGGAATTAAGGTTTTATATGCAACAGAACATAAATTGTTACACATTCTTTGACTTCTGTGTTTGTGCAGCATCTTAAGGGATTGCTTGTGTACCAGTGAGTTGTGTTTAATGGAAATTGTTTCCCAAATTGTTTTACACTGGAAAGCAGTGGAAATTACGTGATGGGTGACAAGTCAAACCAAATGCAGCTTCTGTAGCACCTGCTTTTTCCCCTCATCCTCTCAGTTCTGAAATAGTTCATCAGCTCTTGGTTTGCAGTTGGCTGCAGAATCAATGCATCAAGTGCAGCGCTGACTTCCTTGGAAGTGAGCAGCATTTTTAGTGTTCTCTCGTTTGATGGCTGACTGGTCTTGAAAGCTCCGCTTGGAATCGGTCCCACGTTGGCTCCTCCTGGCTGTTCAAACCCTGTCTTACCCTTTTACATTTGTCTCTCCTTCCTGGAAATGGCCTCTTAGGTCTGCATGTTTCTTCCAGCCCTTCCTTGGCTTCTGGTGAGATGCCTGTGTGTCAGTGAATGTTAATTCTCTGATCTGCCTGCATGAAGTGGAAGGGTGGGTACAGAGCTCGCCTCTATACAGGCCACAGATGGTGTCTCTCCTAGCTGTAAAACTGAACAATGTTTAGATGAACCCAACATGTCTAAAATTCAAGACTGGAAAAAATAAACTATTAATTTCTACTAGATATTGAGAGGTTGTTACTGATAATCTAACATGAATGTTGTTATTGATGGTTTTCTCATCAACGTGTTTATACTGATCCAGTGTCTTTCTAACTGGTTAAATTGTTTTGTCTTGCCCACCTCTGCTATCCTAGAGTACATTTACTTCTTGTCAAGATATTTGTCTAAACTTGAAGTTTTTTGAAGCAGGATGGCTTCTTCCAGACTGAGGATTTTGCCCATGTAAGGCCTGAAGCTAAAGCCACTGCATGCAACCACAGTACAAATGGGTCAGTCCTCATGCACCTGAGGCAGATCTGCTGTATGGCAGTGGGCTTTGTGCCTCCTGTTAGTGCTGAGATTTCAGTGGCTAGTGCATGGATCTCTGTGGCCTTATGGTGATCAGATAGTCCTGTGCTTGACACTTCCTATCACAAGATGGTGCTATGGAGTTTTCTTACTCCTTTCATTCAGTTTAATTTGAAATCAAGGCTGCCAGCATCGTGGGTGTTCAACATTAGAGGTGCTTGATCGGTCTGCTGTTAGTGATGGGCAGAGTCCAGCTTTGAACAAACCTAGGCCAACTGCTGCCTTCTCATCCTGAAGGACATATTGTAATGCATATTAGTGGTAAAAGAAAAAGGTGATGTGAAGAAATGAATTTATCTTTATAGCTAGTCAGTTGTTCAGATTTATCTCTAGGACCATTCCCTTGTCCTCTGTTTTGGTACATGTCTGTTTTGTCTGGATAACGATGCTTGATTGTGGAAATTCTGCAAGCTCAGTAATTGTCTGCTGAGAAGAGCTTTGTAGATACCTTATGCGGCATTAATAGTTAAAGGATAGCAGAAGAAAATAACTATTCCAGGGAAAAATGTTGTGGAGACCGGCCTGAAATGGTAGTCACGAAGATGGGGCACAGTGTTCTTAAGGTGTTTGGAGGCTGCTGCTAGGAGCCCACGAAGAGCAGGCAAACAGAATGTGACAACAGAAGCAGAAAGTTGCCTGATTGCATCATACTGTCGCTGCGCCGGGTAGAGAAAACTGAAGATGACTTGGTTTGCGCTGAAATAAGGTAAAATGGTTCATGTTAAGTTTATAAATGGATAGTTTTGACTGGAGCCATATGCTCTTAACTCTGTAGGCTACTTTTGGAAACCCTTTTCTGCAGTGGATTCTTCTCAGTGCCTTACCTTTTTACAAGGAAACCATGGTTAGCATTGCCTTAAGCTGAGTAGCATTTGGTTTTTCTCCCACAAATGACAATACTTCTCTCTTTAAGTGGCAAAAACTAGTAGAGCCTTTCACCTGCAGCCTAATTGTCACACTGCCTACCCTGTGATTGGAGCTGACTGAATCTTGCATCCACGAACACAGTCCTGGTCAAACTGCCTATTGCTTGCCAGGATTTATTGTCTGTTATTACCTTGGAGGCTGCTTCTCTATTTCTTTCACACAGACTTCATTAACTTGTAGGGTATCCTGGGGAATTATATACTATAAATTCAGTAGCTGTTTTTCCTAGCACTGGATCTTCTTGTGACCTCCTCGGTGTTGAGGAGGACTAAGAAAAATGGCTTTCCTGGGTCCTTCAGAGCTATGAGCCCTGGGACTTTACAGCTCAATATCCCACAGGGTCCTGACTGTCTATCTGTCGTCTTTGAGCTACTTCCCAACCTGTCTGTCAGGAGCACCCCCCTGGGTTTAGTGCAGCCGCGAGTGCAGACTTGACTAGAATAGGAATGAAGTAATAGGCTGGCTTGGCTGCTAATCTTATAATCTCCGTGGTAGCTGTGCTTGCTCTCGTCCCTCAAACTAGCCAGGTACAGTTATTTAAGAGGCTTGTAAGTGATAGCGGTGACTGGGAATCACTACCTAATGGTCACTTAAACTTTATTTTAGATGATTTTTCTGAAGGAATGGACCTAAAGCTGTAACTTATCCAAGCAAACGTTATATGCAAAGGTATTATGGATTGCTAGTGAAGAGCAGGCATGTGTTTGATCTGCTTGTTTGCTTTTTTTCTTTGAAGATGATGTTTAGCATGAAAAATGTCTGACCTAAATAGGCTTCTTGTCCTACACAGTAATAGGTCTGAATATCCCACTTAAATTATTTTAAATTTGCTGCCGTCTGACTGCAGCGAGTGCCTAGCTGCACCTCTCCTGGCTTGTTGCTGTGTCCATCCAGATAGGAACGTGCCTGTTTCTAGATCGGCAGTGCAAATGTCTTGCAGATGGAAGAATATTGGCATTGCAAACAGAGATGGACGTGTTTGACTGGAACACTTAAATCTGATCTAAAGGTGTCATGAGAAAAGGTAGAGATGATTTGAGTAAACTCATGTTTGCTTGAGCCTTGGGTTCCTGATCCCCGTACCCCTTAAGCAAAGGCTCCTCTTGCATATTACGTCTTCTGTTGCTTGAAAGCTGGAGGTACCACTGCAGTTTTCGTTCTGCCTGTAGCTCTGGGCGTGGGGAAGGACGTGGAGGTTGGCGCCTCCTGGTCACGGCCCGTTAGCGCCTCTCCTGAAGCACTGCAGCGTGTTGAGGCTGGCAGCAGTGCTGGAGGAAAGAACTGCAGCATGTAGCTCCCGGGCAGCATCCTCTGTGCACCATGCAGTGGGCAAACGATTCACGTTTCCACCTTTGCCCCCTTGTCAGGAAAAATCATTCCCTGTGCTCAGCATCTTCCCACTTCCGTACCAGGAAAGCGCTGAGCAGAGCCCAGTCCTGTGTGGTGCAGAGGCTGCAGGCGATGGCTCTGTGCAGGCTGGTTCTAAAACAGCTCTGCAGCTCCGGGGAGGAGGAGGAAGTAGTGCAGGGCTAAAAGTGCCCCAGGCAATACCTGAACATCTCAAATCTTCATGTCAAGCTTGGTGATTTAAGTGTCTAGATCTCAATAGATTGCACTGGGAAGATGCACACTGAGAAATAAGGAGGCATGTCAGGTTCCAGGAGCATCAAATAACATCCAGTAGTATCACAGATAGCTACAGGGTGGACATAGCAACTCTGCTATTGATAATTCTGCACTTAAGAGCTTTTTTTGACAGTCATGGGGAGCTTCTGTGCCAAATGGCTAATGTGTTTCAGGAAATTCAGGGTTAACCAGTCTGCCATCCTCTTGCACATGAGGAAGTGTGAGATCTTACTTGCACAGAGAGTTACTGCATCTGTTGGCTTGACTTCTTATTTATGGCACAGGAATGCTTTTAGGAGGAGTGCTCTAGAGATTATAGCTCATATTTTTGTGGGGCTGCTCTTGTAGCTATCCCTTGTGGTCTAAATCTATGTATGTCTTCATGCTTCAAGGGCTTTTTGAAAACTTTAATTTATTGTTTGGTAATTACAAGATTTGCATCTCAAATACAGTAGAGCAAGCACCGCAGGAATATTTACTGGCATTTCAGGGTGTTCACTCTAGATGTATTAAGGCTTGTCTTTAGAAACTGCTTTGTCTGAGTTTGATCTCCCTGTGCCCTTAGCTGCAGTCCTCTTATTGTTAGTGCATACACATTGTGAAAAAGTCAGATATATCCATCAAAAAACTATTGTCTGCTGGTGGGCAGGGGTGTAGTTGATGATCTGACCTCTCTACCCGTCCTCTAAGCTGTCTCAGCATTTTGAATCGACATAGTTGGCAATCTGGAAGAGAGTCTCCCTTGCAGACCTTGTGGTCTGCCATGTTCTGATTAATGCAGGTCGGGCCGTGCAAGTGCAGCCTGTTTAAGTAAATGGTGATAGAGAGGGAAACAGAGAGAAACAAGGTATAAATATGATTGCAAACAAGGAATCAAACCTTCCTCAGAAGATGGCTTTTTTTCTTTTTAATTACCGTGTGAAAAGCGGAGCCCAAGTAAGCATTTGTTTGTGAAACTTCTGGTAGAGAGTCTCTGCTCTTCTTTTTGTCCTACAGTTGAGTACTGATTCTTTGAAGAATGGTTATCATGTGCATAACACTTACCCAGCCTCTGTTACGTGCTGTGGTTGCTGCTGTGTCATCACAGCTTTACAAATTGAGCCTGCAAGTGATTCAGGTGGTAAGTGACAGCTGCTGGCCCAGCCTCTCCTCTTGCCAGAACTGAACTGCCAGGCCGGGTGAAACGAAATGTTGAAGTCCAGCGTGGCAAGAGTCACCTGTTACTTCTTGGGACACATTCAGGCAGTAAAAAGGCTGGGCACAAGCTGCTAATATCAAGTAGTGATGATTTTAGACTCTCCTGAGCTGTACCTTTGAGGTGTTTAGAGAAACACAATTCCTAGACATATAGTAGCATGGATGCTCTTGTCCCCTACAGGAAAGCACCCACTTGATGTAACCAAGTAAGCCAGCAACTGGAACTGGCTCTCCAGTTTTCCTACTCAGTCTTTTATTCCTCCTCGAGTTTAGCCATTTGAGATAGCTAAATGTAGTTTTGCCCACCTGTGACTCTTCTGTATTGATTATACTGAGGAGTAGGTGAGACTGCAGAGCTGTGTTGCGTCAGCTGAGGGGTGACATGGTGGCACTGCAGTTGGCAGCCCCATCTTTGGCTCCACTGTCCCTTCCTCCCATGCTCTGCATGAATCAGAAAGAAGTGACTCCCCATGTCACTCAGTTGCTGCCTGTAAAGCACTTGTTGGGCTGGCGGTCTGAAACATTACTGTTGTGTTGGTGCTTCTTCCACTGCAAAGCCTGGGAATCCTCAGGAATTCCAGGGAATCCTGGCCTGTTATTGCGCCGGTTGGTGGTGATACTTCAGAACATGAATGCATTGAGTTTAAAATAGATCCTTCTACGTACAGTTCTGTGCGTGGTACAGGCTCTTTGTGATAACGCTGCGTGTAGTTGCTCTTTAAAACAACATTGTTTTTTTACTTCAAGAGCTAATTAATTTGTCTTGTATATTTGCATGCTTTAGTCTTTCTCCAACTGTATTATGAGAAATTCTCAACATTCAGTTGCCTGGCAGAAAGTCAGACCCTTGAAAATCTCCACGTTTCTGCTATTTAAATATGAGAAAGTAGCTTCAGGGAGGGGAGAAATGAGGAAGTGGGAGCTCAGCTAATGTCTTAGAGCTGGCTTAAGTACTAAGGATTTGGTTAGATTATTGTTCTTACAGGTCTCGGCATCTGTAGCCCAGGTAGGAGCTCTTTGAACTTGGCTGCCCCTACTCCCCAAATGCAAGACTGGAGCTTGGACAGTGTTTTCAGGACTCCAGAACTGCACAGGAGAGACTGTTTCTGTATTTAGTGCTTAATAGAGCAGTCCAAAAGGTGGTATCCTTTCAAAAATGCAACCCAATCTTGCAATGACATATTGTCAAAACCACTCAACTACTTTACATCTATCTATCTGTCAGTTATCTATGTCTTAGGTTAGTCAGGTGCTATTGTTGTGTCCAGTGGAGGAGGGTTTATATCTGTCTTGTGGTGTCCATAGCTGTGGTCTGTGAGAACTGTTCTAAGTTTGGAGAAGTGAATCTCTTGACCATTAGATAGCAGATCATTAGAAAGCAGGTTTATAACAACTTTGTTTCTATTTGCTTTAACTTATGGAGTGAAATCTCTAGTACAGCTTCTCTGTGAGTGGTGCATTTGATGTTGCCTTTTCATATGAAAAATTTCCATGTTCTTTTTACAGCATGTGAAGCTGTTAGCCCTCCTCATCCTGATGCATAATGCTGTTTTCCCACTATTGGAAACCTGGGAGACCTTACGTGAAAATACACAGAACCTTTTACGAATCTGCTTTTTGTAGTTGGCAGTTTGAGGGAGTACAGGTGAAGTTAAGCACAATGTGTTGCACTTCTTCACATGATAAACACTTAACACATAAGGCAGGTTTGAAGGGAACACCAGTAATTATGTGCCAGCATTGTCTGACTGACAGCTTGTGTTCACTGCCTCCAAATTTATTGCCTCTCTCTATGCTGTCAACATATCTTGGACTCTTTGCATCTCTAGTTGTCATAAGAGCACCAGGGGTCCGTGTCTGTAATGCCTGACTCCCAAACCAGAGCTGACAGCTCTTCCATGTGGTGTTGACCTCTGCTCATTCCCATCAGTATATGCCGTGTTCCTCAAGAGCTGCTGCAATCTGCCCAATAAGTGCAGGTTAGCCTGGAGCCTTTGCTTACATGGTTTGACTCAAATGTATAGGTTTGCCATAAGAACTCTTTAGCATGCTCCCCATTTCACCTGTGAACTATGACTGAGGTGTGAGGATGGAGGACACCGCTTAGGTGTTAAAATACTTCTGCTGCTGTTCAACGAGGTGCAGTAGTTCTGAGCTCTGATTAACTTTTAGGAAATTGCTGTTTTCTGAGAACATCCTGAGCTGCCCTGTGCTCTGAATGGCCCCGAGATAAAGCAAAAGGCCAGGACTTGTGGCAGGAGTGAGCAAGCAGTGTGTGGTTGACTGTACACGTAGTCAAGATAAGCATTAGATGAAGTTTCCTTGCAAGGTGTGTGTGTGCAAAACTAGGCATAAAGGTGATCTCGTTCATTTGGCTTTTAAGAGGGGATTTGTGCCAGTCTAAGCATTGTCCACTATGAAAATAAACCTGGCTGTTGTTTCACAGGGCACCCAGCAGCAGCTTGTGGGACAAAGCTTCCAACTTGGGATGACTTGTTCTAGTCCTGTCCATCAATTTACGTTGTAGACAAGCATCAAAATAAACTGCCTCATTTTAACTAATCTCCTAATCAATTTTTGTGTTCTCTTAGCAGCTGCCATTAATCTAGCAAAGCTGAAGCTTTTCAGGCATTACTATGTTATGGTAAGTATGAAATTTGTAAATACGTACACAGATCATTTAAAAGCCTTCCAGGCATTTTGGTGGATTAGTTGTTGAAAGCTGTTTTAAGTAGTGGATGGGGTGGAGATGTTCTTAGTTCAGTGGCAGTTCTGTGCTTTGATATCTTGATCAACTGCCTTACAGTTCTCAAAGTAACTTCCCTTCTGTACCTAATGGTTGCATCCTTCTGGTTGTCCTTGCTTTCAGTTATTTGTAATGCTTACTGATTTCCTCTGAAAACAGCTTGAGCTGCCACCTAAACTGATGGGCTTGAATAACATATTATAAGCTCTCTAAAAATTAAACGTGGGATCAAATGGTGCCTTGAGATGCCGTTTTTGATTAAGTCAGTGGGAGCTGTGAGCATACTTCCCAAGAGACTGTAGCTGCCTTAATGGTTTCCAGCAGCCTCATTTTAGATTCCCTCTTACCACAATAAGGGAAATAAATTACAATTCTGATTCTCAAGTTTCATAAAATCCTAATTCCTAATTTAGAGTGGGAAAGCACTTTAAATATTAGTAATAGCTTGAGTCATTTGGATGCTCAACAAGCAGCAGAGCCCTCAGTCTATATCTTCTATGTTTATCAAGAAGTGTAATAAGGCTAATCTGACATAATGAGTTGTCTGGGAATTGTTTGAGCTATTCCCCTGGAAGAGAGGCTCTGCAAGGATGATGATGCTATTGATCTTGCTCAGACTTTGTCCCTTTCCCTCCCACAGATTGTGTGTTACATTTACTTCACACGGATCATTGCAATTCTCATAAAGATTGCTGTTCCATTCCAGTGGAAATGGCTGTACCAGGTATGTGTCAGTAAAGAAAAATACATCCATCCCTTGAACTTTAATTATTCTTTAATCTTTAAATATAACTGCACCCCCCAAAGAAATCCATAGTTTATTCTCCATGTTGTCATAGAACTTCTCAACATAGTGCTGTGCCCCATCTCCTCCTCATCTTTAGCACTAATGCACACGGGATGTTAGGAATATATTTTTAGTTTTGTGTTTGTCCAGCAAGACTGCCGGTTTATACATGAGATGTCTGAAAGTAATTGCATTATTGATTTTAGTCTTTCAGTTTAGAAATGTCTGAAGGAAATTAATCAAGAACATACAAAGGAGAAAAAAAATAGTCAGGTTTGCCCTGTGTAATTGAGGCCCCAGGGAGCCAGTGAAATAGGTTTTTGCTTTTCCATTTACAGGCTTTATTTGCCTAGTGACTTTTAAATACTTGGTTTCTTAACGTATAATCTAAGTAACTGTGCAGGGAGTCTTTGGAATACGTTAACTGTTGGAAGTACCAAAAAAAAAAAACTTCGGGATGTATATATTTTTTTTTCCTCATTTAAAAGCCTAGCCTTGCCTTGGTTACTTAAAAGCACTGGAATGATGGCTAGAATTGTAACTATATTTAAAGTGACAAGGAAAGCTGAAAGAACAAAGGGCTTTGACAGCTTTCAGCCTGAGATTAATGATAACAAGATGGGAATTGCCATGTTCATTGTACAGGCTTCTTGGCCATTAAATCTTCAAGCTTATGAATGAGGAGAAATGCTTTATGACAGTGAAGGATTACAAGAATAAACTTCAATTTTGTGTTTTTACTTGCAGTTGCTAGATGAAATGGCCACTCTTGTCTTCTTTGTCCTCACCGGGTACAAATTTCGTCCAGCGTCAGACAACCCTTATCTACAGCTCTCTCAGGATGACGAGGATGATCTGGATATGGAAGCTGTGTAAGAGCACCCCACCACATACACTTTATTTTTAACCACTTTGCTTGCTTTCAGGAAAGCAATGCTTAAAAACAGCTTATTCCGTATCTGTAAGAAGTCCTTCTTCAAAAAAAAAAAAAAAGACTGCTATCATATTTAAAAATAGAGGTGTCTGTTAAACAACCAGAAGCTTGTGATATACAGGAAAACCCGAGCTGGGTATTGCAACAGTGGGGATTAAGCTGATAAAGCATTTCATGGGGCAAGACATATCCCTCTGCTTCTTTCTTTATCTGCTTGGTTCTTGATGCTTGTGTAGAGAAGGGCTTTGAGACTGGCTGAAAAACTAGCCCACTGCACCCAGCTGTCACCCAGAATGAGGAATAACTTCAGACTGTTCCTGGGAGATCCGTAATTGCAGTGGATGTAGATGACTTAATCTTCAGAGAGAAGACAAAGACTTGCTGGCTTGGGTTGCTGCACTTTACTCTTGTTTTCTGTGTGATCAGTGGTAGGAGCTTTTTGGGATTCTCGATTGTCTTTAGAAACAAAGATCATCTTGCAAAGTGCGTGATCTTTCCTTATTTATTTATTTTTAAAAATGTGGATTTCAACTAGTAGGCAATGACTTTAAAATCACTGTCACTTAAGGATCTTTAGGTGGTTTGCATAGGAAGTTGGTTTCAGTTTGGGTGCTCGTAAACAGACATCCCCATTAGGAAAGTGCTCTCTGAACTGGAAGATGTAGCACGATTTGTAATTGCACAAAAGTGACTTTTTTTTCTTAGGAGATCACCTAGTAGAGTGCATTTCAACTAAGCATTTTACGTAGTTTTTCATGGCTATTAATCTGGCAGCTTTCAGATGATGTGGTAAAGTCATTAAGCTGGCAAAAGTGCTAAATTTAAGATAATCTGCCAGGAGTAACAAGAAAGTGTAACAAACTAAGCGATTTACATCTTGTATAGCAAAAGAGACCTTGCTCAACCTAAGGGTCAGAATTCCTTGTGAGCTTTTCTCCTAGCAAGGCATTTTGCTCTATGCCTTGGGAGTTTCCATTGTGGTGCCCGGTGGGTTGTTCCCAATAGCCTTGTTGGGATTCTTGTCTCATTCATTGTCAGTGTCCTCCTTCTGGAGACTTGACGGGGAATAACCTATGGAAAAGTCCTGTTTTGCCTTCTCTAACTGCATTAAGGAAGTTGATTTTGCACATATTTGCAAAGCTTGGTGTATACACATTCTGCGATAGGTGAAGCACTGCCGTTAACGTTTTAAATTTCTTGTTGACTTGGTCTCGCTGGTCCTGTTTTTACTTTTATAAATATTAAATGTTGTTTTTGTGGGGAAGAAATATCAAGGCTTATTCGAGCAAGTGACTAAGTACTTGACGGCATCCTGACTAACAATTGTTTGAGTGTATGTTTTGTTTTCCATGTTATAAAATACCCACTTGTTTTCAGAAGCTATGGCAGAAAGTAAAAGCCTGCAAATTTCAAACTTCATGGTATTCTGCCGTGTCTGATTTCCAGGTGAAAAGCAAAACCGTTTGCTTTATGGTTATTTTTCTATCCCAGAGTTTTTTGTTAAAATCAGGGTTTTAAAACACTTGCTGCAGAAGCATTCATTTTCTTTAGACTCAACACTTCTATGAGCCAACAGTAGGGAGAGCTGAGGTCATCAAGCCTGTTATTCAGGCTTGCTTAAATTTCCAAGCAAAAAAAGAGGATGTTTTAAGTGCAGCTTTCTGGTTTGTGCCTGTTTTCAGAGTACAAACTGTACAATTCTTGGGCAGTGAATGTAAATATTGGTAAGGACAATGTGTAAATCTGTAGTGTTTCATGAAAATTGAAAAACTTGCGTGTCTCAGAGGCAACATAAGATACAGATTTTCCCTCTGTCAACTCATGTAACGCAAAAATATAAATTAAAATCAGTGGAAGTGCCTTGTAGCAAGTTTGCAAAGTTTCTCTTGCTTGTTTTAAGATAACAAGCCTCTGTCTTACATGTAAGTTATAGCTATTATAGGTCTCTCTTCCCCTTTATACCATAGAAATTGGTGGCGAGTATGACTAAACTTGAACTAAGGACCCGTCTGTTCTTTTTCAAGTAGGTCAAGAGCTGTTCATCATCAAGCAAGTAGCTTTCTGTGTACTCTCTGCTGGGCAGCCTTTGGAGCCTGTTCTGCCAATCTGTGGGCACAGGGCTGACACTTTGTTAGATTAAAGTGCTCTCCTTGAAAAGGTGCAGCCACACTTGGCAGAAATGGTTGCCAGGCTTCCAACCCTGATATTGCTTTTGGGACATGACCACTAAAATCTAAACAGTACCAAATATATATATATATATATGTGTGTGTGTGTCTGTGTGTATGAGGGGGTGGAGAAAGGGAAAAGGAAGCATTTTGGTTTCCTGCTCCTGCAGTAATTATTCCATTAGCTCACTGTTACTTCCAGTGTCAGGTATCAAAGTGGTCTGCTTCAAGTCTGGGTTGAGATGATGTTCAGAAACACTTGCAGGGTGAGGATATCCTCACTGGAGGGAGAACTACAGGAAAAGCCATTAATGGTTATGTGTTGGATTCAGTAAATCTTACTGAGTGCATGGAGACTGTAATTATTTTGTTTTTCTTAACACTCAAAACCGCTCCAACATAGTTACTGATGTGGTGGCGCTGACCTATGTTTGCTTTATGTGCTGGGATCTGGAGTTTCTCTTTGCATGATGAGGCAGCCTATTCGGTGCTGAGACTTGAGTCCTGGTTGCTTGCATTGCTGTACTTGCTCTAGGTTGTGCTTCACGGCAGATTGATTCATGATGTTCTCCGTTGGAAGTGATTTTTCTTCACCTAACACATCTTTCCCATGCTGAGATCAGCTGCTTTGTTCAACAGCAGATCAGTTTTCCCTCCAGTTTGCAGTATCAGAGGCTTAAAATGTGCTCTGTGCCTTCCAGTGCTCCCTGTAGGATTATAAAATAGGAAAGGAGAGGGAGGCACTGCAGTGGGAGACTGCAAATGTTTGTGGATATTTAGCAATCCCTTGCTACCTTGTACATAATGCAAAACAGTCAAAACCTGAATTTCCATAGCATGTGCAACTATACAATGCAGTGTTCAGGGAACTGCTTTTCTGCCTCATTTATGGTAGGTTTGTTACCTCTGACATTCACAAGAATTCTCTCTAAAGAGATAATTAGTGAGAAGACTTATTGTATTTTAGCTGTCAATTTATGGGCTAGAAATGCAGGTCAATGAACTGCATTTGAGGAATATTTACTTGCAGTGTTGCAGGTCAGAACAGAACTTGTGAAACTTTAGAGGACTGGAGTGAGAATACAGAGTGCTTGACAGTGCTGTCCTCCTTACAGTACTGGGCACTAACGTTGTCTGAACTGCTTTTGGGAAGGAGAGGAATTACCCATTGCATGTGAGCAGTCTTAGGAAACAGGATCTCAAGAGCTGCACTGTTTGCTTGTCATGAGACAAGATCAGTGCTCATAAGATGGATGCTCTTCAGCTTTCACTGCTAAGGAATTCACCTGTTCTGTGAAGATTTTCCCAGCACTTTTCTGTCAATGTGAACTCTCTGGTAACAAATGATCCAACTTTATTTGACTGAGATTTTCAATAAGTGGCCATTCATCCTATCCTGCTCTAGGTAGATTATTCTTTTTACTCCAGTAATATCAGACCATCTTTTTTTTCCCCTTCTGTTCTGGATATGGAGTAGATTTGTAGCTGTTCTGATGTACAATGCTAAAATCTATACCATGTACCAGGAGAGCTCTTATGAGCTTTGAGTCAAGTGTTGGGACTGCTGTCATGTCGTGTAAAACACCTATTAGTGAATCCCGGTATGTCTGCTACTTCACTGCCATGGTAGTGGCTCCCTCTTGCACTATGATCCATTGTAATCTTCAGATCTTCTCTGAAGAATTGATACTTAGCCCTTTATTCTGTAATTAGGAAGCTAATTATTTCTGAAGAATAAACTTTGTAGTTGTTTTTCTGCCTTGCCCCTTATTTTTTCAGACCCCTACTCCCATTTGCCAGGATCCTTCAGAATTTGAGTCCTGTTTTCAAATATTGTAGCTCATGGTATCTTGTGCGGATTTAATAAGCAGGTTCTCTATTCCATTACCCAGGCAATTACTGAAAATACTGAGCAGAAATGAACCCAGAACAGGCCTCTCCGGAACAGTGCTTAATGTTCCTTTGTTTTGACAGTGAAGCATTAAGCACATCTCAATGTACGCTTTTCCAATTAGTTATCCAGTCACTTCTGACACTTCCATCAAGTCCATGTTTCCCTAGATTACTTCTGAAAATGTCACCTGTAACAGAGGGAAATACCTCTGTGAACGGGGAGAAGTTGGGAGGTCTACTACATGTTTTCTCACTTAGAAAGCTTGACATGTTTTCTTTCTGGCAATTCTACTTACTGTTGACTACTTCATTCTTTCTCCTTTAAGCAACCTGCTTCCTTATTTTTTTCCCCTTTTTTAATTTGGATAGAGAGTAAAGTTAGTCTTCTAGAGAAGTACTTGATCTGTACTTCTCTATTGCTTTCTTTCTTTCCTTCCTTCAACATTATAACAGTTTGTTTTTTATAGCAACAGATATAGAAGATACAGATATAAAAGAATAAAAGGATACTGGGCTGAAGAGCTTTTTGGGTAGCCAGGGTAGTTCTGAGAATAGTGATAGTGTTTGGGCTGGATAAAGAGCTCAGTTTGCCTAATGTTTGAACAATATCATGAGGCTTTATAGCTCAATGGTCAGATTGTCATGACAAATCCAGGCTTGGATTAGTATAAAAGGGATGACCTCTCTATTCTGTTATCTTGCTGCTCATTGAGTAGTGTTGCTGCTAACAGGATTCAGTGTGCATTAAGGTGATAAAGTTGATTTATCCAGCAATGGATATCCATCGATGGTATTCATCGTATGAGTTTTTGTGTGGTGAGTTGGACCTGTTAAAAGCATAGGAAATGTGGAAGGAAATGTTTAATATATAGAACTAAGGGTGTTCAGTTGTACAGAAAGGGTTTAGAAGCAAAGTGTTTTGTAAAAGGCAGGTGGTGTCAGTTTAGCCGTTCCTGCCTGCTCTTTTCTCCTCAAGTATGGACAATATTAATGCTTATTTTGTTGCGGACTTTCTAGTGCTGTGCTGCTGATGTTAGCCCCAGCTTTAGAGAAGGAAGCTGAAGCATGTTGGAAACTGCTGGGTCTGGGTAAAGAGACCCTTGAAGGGTTTGTTGGGGATGTGTGCAGGAACACAAGTCTGAAAATGGGGATGGTGAAATGGATGTCACAGTTGAATTTGTTTTCTCTTCTTTTTTTCCTCTAGGGTGACGACTTCTGGCGTGATGGAGGGCATGAAGAAGGTCAAGAAAGTGGTGAATGGTTCAGCAGAGCTCCGGGGCGAGTGGGAGAGCACAGCGTGATGGACTGGACTAAGGCAGCACTTTTGGAGAAACTTTTTTTAATTTATTAATATTACTCGCAGTGGAAGGGGAGCAACTAGCACTTCCCGACACTGAAACTGCGGACTGGGGTATGTCTAGTGGGGAGCAAAGCAGTGCAAAAATCTAACTATTCCTCTGATCATAAGAAAATGGGATATCTTGGGACCCGCAGGAGTGTGAAGCTTTCCTAGGGATTTTGGTTAGGTTATTCTTTATTTCTCCCCACCCTTTCTGGATCAGTTATTCTAAATTGTTTGCAATTGCATTCTTCAGAATGTATTATACTAATGTGAAGAGAGACCTTTAGTGTGTAAGTAAAGTATATATTTTATATAATGCATATATACACACACATGCTATGTAACATATATGCTGGGAATTACAAAGTGTCACAGAAGATAGGAAAACGAGATGTAAGTATTTCTTTTTTATGAACTTTCCTTCAGACGTGGACAAAATATTGAAAAAGACAAATTAATAGAAACAACTGCAGAGAGACTAAATGGGGCTTTGGATCAGAGGACTCTTGCCACTTGTGTGATGAGTGGGGAAGTTAGGAGGGACTTGTCTAACCTGTGCAGATACCCACCTGAACATGCCAGGTTTTCAACTGGGTTGCTATACAGGAAGCAAGCAGCTGTTCTCCCTTAAAAGTACTAGCCTGTAGTGCAATAAATATTAGTGTAAATTCTCCACTAATGGAGTTGCTCTTTATTCACACCCCCCTGACAAGAAGCACACAAGGGGGTGTAAGATCGATGCTTGCTTTTTAGGGGCCTGCCTTGCTACCTTAGACACTGAAATTCAAACTGTGACTCAGCACTTTGATCTGCATTATGAAATATTTTCAAGGTATTTCAGAAAGCACACTCCTTTCTGGCACTGTGTTAGCAGTGCCAGAATCTTCACAGGAAAATTCTGTCTTGCAAACCTCCTGCAGCATAAATCTTGGTTCACCTTCATCTCTGCCTCTCTGAATGGTCACTTGTACCTTTCTGGCTGTGTAAGATTAGTGATATTGCTGTCTGAGATGAGCTCAATTGGTCAAAAAGGAATTGCTGTCAAAACCATGAGACTGCAAGTCCCAGTCGTAAATGGTTCTGTCGGAGGGAAAGAGGGTTATGACTGGAGTGCTGTCAATATCCAGTAATATGAGAGTCTTAATGATTACCTGCAAATTTGTGGTGGAGTCTTGAGACGTATTGCAAATGCCATGTGCATTTTACTTCTAGTGCTCTGGTTTTGCTACTAAGGCAAACTGGTGCCTCTAGCTATAGCAGTTAGGCATAGCAAGTTATTAATTTGGGGAGGAACAGGCCTGGAGTTGTTCCCTGATGTAACAAAGGATAAGCTTTAAGGAAAAAGAAAAATCAAGTCCGACTCTGACCCTCTGAAGCCTTAATCTTCATGTGGAAACATTAGACATAGATGGTGCTGTCAAGCAAAGTGCTTCTGTCAGGGTGACAGGATTAGACAGCATCAGATAGCTCCCAGCTGTGCCATCATCTCTTACTAACTGGTTAGGTTTTGCTCCCTTTTTGTCTGAAGGGACTAGATCTGAGTAACTCATTAGAGGATTCCATGTTGTTTAATAAGTTTAGAAGAAGGTTTCTCTCTTTGGAAGGCTGAACCACTTAGTCTTGAGCAGGGATTGTAAAGCTCTAAAGTGAGCAGTCTCTACTTGTTCAAGACCTGCTCTTTGCTGTTTCGCGCTGTCACTTCTCTTCCCTGATTCCCCTGATCGTGGAAGTGGTAGAAGTGAAACTACTTGCTTAGGTATCTGAAATTGGTCCCTGTTCAGGAGAGGGGGAAAAACAAAGCAAAATTGCATGAGAACAGTCCTCTCAATACAAAGTCCTCTTCTGTATTTTCCTTTTCAGCTGTAATGGCATAACAGTCAGAGCAGTGCTGGTTTGACTTTGGTGTCCTTGTCTTGCAAAGACGCAGCTTTAGTGGAAATGGAGTGCCTGTGCTACTAGAAAGGCTGTTGGGGGATTTATGAGGCTTTTAGACCTTCTCTATGAAGGATTCTTCCGCATATTAAATAGTAGAGATGTGGGGAGCTGGAGTATAAACATGTAGGCAGTCCCAACTCATCATATAAGACCTCACTTCAAAATAAGACCTGAAAAGCTGATCCTTACTGATCCTTATGCAGTTACTCTGTCTCATAGAAAATGTCATTACCTCCACCAAAAGGGCTTCTCGTATGGACTCGAAACTCTGTTCAGAGTAGTCCATGAGAGACTTGAAATCTGTTAGTAGTCAAGTAGGCAAGGCAAGGATTTTCTGTCAGGAACAGAAGTGCAATAACACATTCTTAATCTAGATGAGATGCTGTCATAGAAACTGTTAATCCATTTTAGGAATGAGGTGTGAAACTCTAATGGGTGCAGCTCTTCACCCCGAACATCAGTGGCTCTGCTGGGATCCCGGCGTGTGCCACGAGCTGGTTCCAAACAGCTGGCTATTCCATACCTCAGCATCAGTGAAGCTGCTGAGGCGGCCAGTGCTTTGTACCTTAGTCTCAGGTTTCTTTTTTATACACGATTTTTTTGCTAAAGTTGTGTACAGTGTAGGTTTACCTATCGAATCCCCGGCTCCCTGAGTCAAAGGCCAAAAAATGAGTGTTTTCTGTTATCTTGTCATGAAAAGCCATGGTAGGACTTCAAAAGCGTTTTTAGAAGAGATGTTTCCATGTTCAGACCTGGGGTTAAGCAGTCAAACGTACAACCAGCTTCAGCTGACGCTTGGTGCTGGGTGCTAACCAGCAGCACGACAGTGAACTAGTTGGGCCTAAGGATTAGTAAGGGGGGAAAAAAAGAATATGGGTAGTGGGTGGGAAAAAAAGTGATGGAAGGTTCTTACTGCAGCCATTTCTGAAGAAATTCCCCTTTTTTTCTTGCTGTACAGTAGTCTTGGGTGCAGATTAGAGAAGGATTCTTCAGCGCTGGGGTGGAGGGGATGGCTGCAGATGCTCTCCTTGCAACCAATGGGTGCTGCAGCAGAAGCACCAAAAGGAAGGATGCTCCCTCTGTGTCCCTCCCAGGGCAGTCCCACATCCTCAGGACTAGCAAACTCATTGCTAGGGAGCAGCAGCAGCAGCTTAAGGGCTCACCAGGCAGGATAATCGCAGCGCTTGCCTTGCAAGTGCTGACTGCTGTGCATCTCAGAGGAAGCTTTGCCTTTTGAGGGGAGGGAAGGTGGAATTGCTGCTTAGGGCTGTACAGCTCCCTGCCATAGGGGCTGTCAGGCTTTCCTGTCTCCGCGTTTTACTGAGCTGAGCGACCAAAGCAGTCAGCCCGAGTGTGCAGCAGTGTAACCGACGGCAGTCCTGGAAAGGCAGGTTTGGTGCAACTCAGAATAAATGGCTGTGAATGCAGTTACACGTGTTGCTGCTGAGGAGTATTCAGCACCCTCTGCAGACTGAAAGGACACCAGCTCGCTCTTGGGTTGCAGTGCAGTTTATGCCCCAATAAATCCTCATTGATGACATGCAAATGCCACTGATCCACTCCTCCCGCTGTATCTGTTCCTCAAGCCGTCTTCCATAGGCAACCTCCTTGCAATGCAAACGCCGGGCTCTTGCATTCGTCAGGTTTGAAAGCGTTTTCCTTGATGGTTTATCAAGAGGTGTATTAAAAGAAAACAAGACATAATGGGGTCAGAACAGAACATTGCTGCTGCTTCCTCCAAATGCAGCAGTTCTAGCTGAAGAAGACACATGCTGTCCTATTAAGATCCTCTTTCATGTTGCCGTCTCGCGCAGCGTGTCATGAGCTGTGCGGTGCATTGTTCAGTGCTTCTCTCCAGCTGAGTGCCCTGTTCCTGGATTTCCATGCTGGCACAGCCTGGGAGCATGTTGTAAAAATTTGCTGCATTGCAGTATTTTGTCTTGGAGCTAGGAGCATGGAAGACGTGTTCTTTCTAAGCTAGATGGACTCTGTAAGGTGAGTCTGCACCTACCAAGTGTCCTTAAGCGCTGTAACGCTCCTGACCATGGAAAGGCATGTCTTGACTTAAAGGCCAATGAATCTTGAACATATTAAGCCTAATCTTGAACATATTAACTCTTCTCTTTCCTCTTATGCACCTCATAGGGAAGAGGAATGTGGTGTGGCCAGGGGCTTGCAGGCGGAGGAGTCTTTTGTTGCCCATTTGTGACTTGATTGGCTTAATTTGAAGCAAATATTGGGTATTTGTAGGGTCTCTAAAGCTTAAAGGAAGCTGAAGTTGCTTATCTCTTTTTTGTGTGGGTTTTGAAGGAAGGAAATCCTTCCTCCTTCAGCCTTTATAGTTTGTCTCCTTCAACTCGACCTGTAACAGTAGCCAACAGACTGCATCTAAAGCAAATGTGGTTTACTGGTTTTTGCATCGTGACCTCCATCTCAATCGTAAAATATTTCCCCATTTTTCACTTTTACAGCAGAGCAGGATGATGTGATCTCCAGGAGCTGGAAAATACAGGGGCGTTTGAGACTTTACTCAGCCTCTCTAAAGAGTCTGTCACCTCATGTGTAACTTCAGTAGCCTGAATGTTTCATGAAGACTGAGGTGCTCCCCAGAGGTTCCTGACCACTGTTTCATTGTGTTCCCTGGAGCGGATTGCTAGAAAATATTGTTCTAAAATGGACTAATCTGGCTTTTCTTGTAGCCCCTGGGTATGATGTTTGGCTTATCACTTTTTACCCATCAATATTGAAAGCTCTGCATTCTCCCCCTTGTAGTTGCCTGGATATAGCAGTGGCCTTTTAGGAACTCCACACAATATGTACTTAAGGTGGCTGAAAGGAAGGACTTGAGAAAAACACCCTGTTAAGAGACTCACTTTGCCTGTAAGTTGAAGGTACCAGAAGAAAGTAGCTGAGAAAAGAAACAGCCTTTATATGTTGACTAGCTCAAGAACCCGTTTATGTTTTGCAGCAATCCTGTAGAGAAGACAATTCTTAATAAATATTTCCCTGTGGGATTTCACCTGGTGTTCTGCTCTCTATATAATGAAGTCAAGTCTGGCCTCTACATTAGCAGAGGCACTTGCTCTGGTAGCTAGGATCCTGGAGCAGTCGGATGGTACCTGCTCTGTTAAAGCAGAGGATGGGTTTGAACAGCTTCCCTTTCCCCTCAGTACCTATTAATAATTAATTCTAGATCCTTTTGTGGCATTAAGCAGCTTCAGGGCACCTTGGGTAATGTAGCTCTGGAATCATTTAGTAAACGACCTCCAAAAGAACTCCAGACTTTTCTGTACAGTCTAGTTATCTTCTAGGGTTTTGGGTGGCCTGTAAATATCCTTTAGTTTATGTTGAAACGTGGAAAAAAAAAAAAAGGATTTTTTTCAGTATTTTTTTTAACATTATTAAATGAACAGCAAGCAGTATTTCGAGAGAAGCAAGGCAGATGTAAATCGGGATGCTCTGTGTGGCTTGGTTTCCTTGCTGTGATGCAAACGTGTAAAATAAAGATTGACTAGAAAGAACTTCATGCATCCTGTTGTTTTCTGCTTCTGAACTGCTAGTGACCAAGCTGCCCTGTGGTCTGACGCTGGTATCCTGAACCCAAGGGCCCAATCATGAAAATTCAATGTACCTGTCACTTGCAAAAGAGCTGCCTTTCAGTGACCCACTTGAGAATTCCCTGAGATGCCTTTTTTTCCAGCTGTGAGACCTGCAGGGCTGTAGCTGTGTTTGTAAGTACCTAACTCCTCTCCTGGTTTTGCAAAGCCAATTTCAGCAGTGATTTCTGTGCGCTCAGATGAGAGGCATTTCTTCTAGCCTAGCAGTCTGGGACAGGCTGCAAGGCACCTCCAGGGAGCTCTGCTGCTCATGGACATTGGGGTTTCTTCCTGCAAGGCTTGGTGTTGAGTTACCGTTTGAGGATGAATGAGGCGCCAGCAGTTTGGTAGAAGGGTAGAAACTTCTGGTTTAGGTGGGTTTTTAACTTGGGGAGTGATTTGGAGCTTTTGTTGGTGTCCTCTTCCTGAGGTATCACAATCTAACCGTGCATTTCCATTCCACAATCTGGTTGTGATGGCAGCGCTGAAGGATTTTGGAGCATTTTAGTGAAGCCCCTTGCCCTGAAGCGTACACTTTGTCACAAAATCTAGGCCTTTAAAATGTTTCTTGCATTTTAACTTACAGTTCCTAATTTACCACAGAGGGGTAGTGCTAAAAATGAGCTGCCTTCTCTACCCTGGAAACCCAAGCAGGCAGTTCTGCATTGCCTCGAGCCTTTAGGTGGGTGGTGTTTTTGCCGTGAAACCACACTAAAAAAAGTACATGATTTTTGGACTTTGTAATAACCTAAACATTTGGCTTTAGAATAAAATAAGTCTTATGTGATGAAGATGATGGCTGGTATTCCCTTGGGGTCTTCTATATCTGTTTTATGGAAGTAGTTCTTAAATATCCTGTTTCTCCAAGCTTGAATGTCCACTGATGCAGGGTTCTTTTGTGCATCTTGTATAATTTGCTTTAAAAATGAACCCACCTGAAGTGATTGGCAGCCAAGCTCATCCCTACTTCGAGCACCCACAGCCCCAGCAGAGTTAGAAATCACTTAATCTAATGAAAGACAAAATGTTAGAATAGGAGTGTGTGAAGTTGGGAGTCGATTGTCGAAGGAGTCCCTTGAGCCCAAGACTTGGTGAGTTTTAAAAGAGAGGGTGCACAGAGAAACCAGGGCTCCTAAGAGAAGAGGAGAAACGACCTGCAAGGAGAGATCGTCTAGCAGCCTTACATGGCAAATAAATTCTCAAGAACCCTAACAGACCATTCTTGGAGGTGCTGTTTGGATGCAAATAGGCATGTTCATGTTTACAGGACCTGGTGTCCCACCTGCCTGGGGGCTTTGTCGCTGTGTATCTGAGTTTTGCAGCCCTCTTGCTGCTCTGTGGTGCAGACCAGCCCGCGCTGTCAGCTCTGCTGCTTTAGCAAGGCTGGCTGCATGACTGAAGACCTGCCCCCTCTTTACATCTTGCCTGCACCTTCTTTTAGCTTCTGACTGACAAACTCTAATGAGCAGGGGCCCGTTTTAGTGCCCTGTGTAGTGAATTGTCAATAAAAAACAAATTGCTTTGTTACAGATAAGGTAATAACGCAGCTTGTGTAGGCACAGCTGATGCTAGGGGCTTCGGGTGAGAGCCAAAGGCTTTCCCGTGTTCAGGTTGTAACACATCCTTGTCATATGTTTCTTTCCCCACTCCTCTCCATGGTCAATAATGTAATTTGGGATGACCTTGCTTTGTCTTTACTGTGCTGTGGGGTGGCTGAGACGCAGGGCATGAGTTGTATTGCAAGGAGTGGAAAAAGAATAAAGGGGCATGTGAAGTAGGGCTGTCACAGCGGTGCTGCATGAGCAGAGGTGCATCAAAATGGAGGGGAGGATTAAAACCCTTTATCCTGCTCCCCTTGGGTGGCTGCTGAGCTGGGCAAGAGACTTTCAGCGTCCTCAGGGAGAGGAGCTGCCCATGACCCACTTCTCTCTTGTGGGGAGGCTGTAACCAGATCAGAGGGACTACAGAGAGCA